CCCGTTGATATGAAACTTCGGTAGGTGATAGTCTAATGCTCATGCGCACTGCTTCCAGTCGCTATTTATACATGAAGTTCTCATCCCCAGTGCCACTTGGCTTGTTAACTTTGACCGCGTGACCAACAGAACGACAAGCTCTGAAGTTATTAACGTCGAAACTGGGTTATGCACTTTTTAGGGGAAAAGAAAAATGTTTAAATAAGTATAACACAGTTAAAAGAAAGAGTCTCAGAATGAGGAGAGGAAATTTGGGTCTCCTAATTTGCTCGTTGCATTTCCCATCCTCGAACAGGGACACCCAGCGATTGTTCTCGGTAAAATATCTGTTCGCAGAAGCAATAATTGCCTAGAATTTTCGTTTACTTGAGGACGGCTAAAAAGTTCTAGATTACCGTTCCATTCATGCACAATTTTCGAAGCTTATCTAACAATTCCATACGATTTTCTGGAGTTTAATTTTTCACATTTCACTACCAAGGTTAGGCTATTTTTCGAAGAAAAAAGGAACCTATAATTTTCGGATTAAAAAATGTGATGGAAAGAGGAACGAGAAACATTCTCTCTTTCGTAATGCTATAGCGCCGCTTAGAATGCATCTCTAAAGATCTAAAAATACTCTGGAAAGCTTAAAAAGCGTTTTTGATGTATTTAGAAGGAAAACGTCGTTGGGTGCCCCTGCTGGAAGCCTCTCGGTCTCAAAGGATGCGCGTTTCCTTAAGGATGACGATTTTTACAAACGCTGGCTCATCGATTTCAGTTTTCTAGATGACTGAGAGAAATAAGGTACTGCTTATCTGGCCACACCGCAACAGAACATAAATTAAACGTACATGTTTATCCTGTATATTTCATTGTATTCCCTTCCTTTAAAACAAACGCCTATGCAGTCATTAACTGGCCCCATGTAGGACAATCGGGATTTCAAACTCCGCGAAATTTTTGCCGCCGGAATTTGAAATCCTGGGCTTTGGAATCCGGGATTCATCCTAAAGAATCCGAAATTCCGCTAACGTTTGCAATCTGGGATCCAAGTTCCACTTACAAGGAATCCAGAATCCAGAATCCACTGGGTGGAGTCCAGAAACAAGGATGATTTTGGTGTTGTGGAAACCATTATTGGTTCGCTTTTGTGTTGTGGTTTTACCTGTTCGCAACACCAAGTAACTGAATTGAAGCCTGTTTTGAATTACCTTTCTTGGGGGTAATCTATGGATGGATGTACTAATGTAATTCTATTCTGATTCTCCACAATGAATTACATCTGCTGAGGCAAACGTCTAACTTTTCATAGGATGCACCAACCTTAGTGAGTTAAGATCACGAAAAGTTCGACCTCTTGCTTAGATAAGTTGTCTTAAAGCGTTTGGATCTTCCAACACGTTCTACCCGTCTGCTTCAGCCGCATAGAATGTCTGAAGATCATCCCCGTGACAAACGTCGATCTCAACTTTCGACGAACTAAATTAATAAATTAAACATTTGTATGATAATACACAAATGTCCAGTGCTGGCCACAAGATCCCTTCTTTCCTGTTTCATCCTTAGTTCCACACTTCTCAGAGGTGTGGAAATGTAGAAAAGTCCGACAAAGTAAGGATAATGTCGCACTTTTCCCCCAGTCATGAACCCTTTGTCATTCTTTGCTTAGTTCTACCCTTCTCAGAGGTGTGGAAGTGTGGAAAAGTCTGACAAACTAAGGATATTGTCGCACTTTTCGCCCAGTCATGAACCCTTTGTCATTCTTTACTTAGTTCTACACTTCTCAAAGGTGTGAAAGTGTGGAATAGTCCGACAAAGTAAGGATAATGTCACACTTTTCCCCCAGTCATGAACCTTTGTCATTCTTTACGTAGTTCCACACTTCTCATAGGTGTGAAAGTGTGGAAAAGTCCGACAAAGTAAGGATATTGTCGCACTTTTCCCCTAGTCATGAACCCTTTGTCATTCTTTACTTAGTTCTATCTTCCCAGAGGTGTGGAAGTGTGGAAAAGTCTGACAAAGTAAGTCCGAAAAAGTAAGGATATTGTCGCACTTTTCCCCCAGTCATGAACCCTTTGTCATTCTTTACTTAGTTCCACACTTCTCAGAGGTGTGAAGTGTGGAAAAGTCCGACAAAGTAAGGATAATGTCACACTTTTCCCACAGGCACTAACCCTTTGTCATTCTTTACTTAGTTCTACACTTCTCAGAGGTGTGGAAGTGTGGAAAAGTCCGACAAAGTAAGGATATTGTCGCACTTTTCCCCCAGTCATGAAACCTTTGTCATTCTTTACTTAGTTCCACACTTCTCAGAGGTGTGAAGTGTGGAAAAGTCCGACAAAGTAAGGATATTGTCGCACTTTTCCCCCAGTCATGAAACCTTTGTCAATCTTTACTTAGTTCTATCTTCCCAGAGGTGTGGAAGTGTGGAAAAGTCCGAAAAAGTAAGGATATTGTCGCACTTTTCCCCCAGTCATGAAACCTTTGTCATTCTTTACTTAGTTCCACACTTCTCAGAGGTGTGAAGTGTGGAAAAGTCCGACAAAGTAAGGATAATGTCACACTTTTCCCACAGGCGCTAAGCCCTTGTCATTCTTTACTTACTTCCACACTTCTCAGGGGTCGTGTGTGTCCGAGAGGCCGCGACTTCTGTAAACGTTTATTTGTGTGACAAAATGCGTGATCTCGTCATATAGTCCAATTAATTTGTTGCCATTTTCAGCCATCATAGCCCCCATTTTTGCCATTGAAGCCTTCTCTACTGCCCAGTCTGGAAGAGCATCGTTGTTCGATGTATCTTTTCCACTTGCGATAACGCGTTTTCTCACGGTGTCCAAAATTCCCCTCAAAAATTTAAACAACGTCGACTTTCCCGCACCGGTTGGCATTACAATTACAATCCATAATATTATAGGTTCAAACCAATCCTTCCCAAAAGGATTTACTACGGCGTGAGAGGAAAAATACGAAATTAACATCAATAAGCCCGACAGTTTGTCACACTATTCCACACTTCCAGACCTCTGAGAAGTGTGGAACTAAGTAAAGAATGACAAAGGGTTCATGACTGGGGGAAAAGTGTGACATTATCCTTACTTTGTCGGACTATTCCACACTTCCAGGCCTCTGAGAAGTGTGGAACAAAGTAAAGAATGACAAAGGTTTCATGACTGGGGGAAAAGTGCGACAATATCCTTACTTTGTCGGACTATTCCACACTTCCAGACCACTGAGAAATGTAGAACTAAGTAAAGAATGACAAAGGGTTCATGACTGGGGGAAAAGTGCGACAATATCCTTACTTTGTCGGACTTTTCCACACTTTCACACCTCTGAGAAGTGTGGAACTACGTAAAGAATGACAAAGGGTTCATGACTGGGGGAAAAGTGTGACATTATCCTTACTTTGTCGGACTTTTCCACACTTTCACACCTTTGAGAAGTGTAGAACTAAGTAAAGAATGACAAAGGGTTCATGACTGGGAGAAAAGTGCGACAATATCCTTACTTTGTCAGACTTTTCCACACTTCCACACCTTTGAGAAGTGTAGAACTAAGCAAAGAATGACAAAGGGTTCATGACTGGGGGAAAAGTGCGACAATATCCTTACTTTGTCGGACTTTTCCACACTTTCACACCTCTGAGAAGTGTGGAACTAAGTAAAGAATGACAAAGGGTTCATGACTGGGGGAAAGTGCGACAATATCCTTACTTTGCCAGACTACTCCACACTTCCACACCTCTAAGAAGTGTGGAACTAAGTAAGAAGTGAAGAAACTCTGGATTTCATGGCCAGGGCTGGACTGATAATATGTATATTCAGCCTCGTTGGGGAGAAAAAGTGCTAAGTTCGACGTCTGACCCAACAGACGATTTTAACTTAATTGAGGTAGACCCAAATTAGAGTGTGGTTAGTCTCGTCCATGAACAGCGCAACGTTTAGCCTAGGCTTAAGTGAGACAATTTGGTCAAAAAAGGTCTTACGTTACTGTTTTGTTTATATCTCCTTTTCAGTTGTGAAATCAAAGAGGAAAGTTTGAAGATTCTTCTGGAGGTTGGGCCGCCCATGTATCTCGGATTCTTGATTCACGTGTTTCTGTACTTTTTTATACTTTGGTCAAATCTTGGGAAACGGCCAATTGCAGGTCAAGAAGATTCTTTAGCTTCTTATTCAACTTTCGAACCAGTTTCTAGTTCAAGCTATACATCATGTGTCAGTTCACAAGTGTCACTAGAACACGAAGGAGAAGACTTACAAGTTCTGCATGAGTCAGTGGCCGCAGCTCCATCGCCTCCTGTCCAACAACAAGGGGGCGTGTGAGACGGAAATAAGAAGAATTTCTTATGGCGTGGGAACATGCAGATGATACATAATTTTCAGATTTATAGTTATTGATCATAAGAATAATTATGCTGCAGAAACAGTTTTAGAATCTTCAGTAACATAATTGTGTATAACATTTCGCAGCACTATTATAATTACTGCACGCGGCTTTATCGCCCCATGTAAGGGAATCCGGAATCCGGAATCCAGGAATTTTTTGCTTGTGGAATCTGGAATCCTGGGCTTTGGAATCCGGAATCCAGCACTAGGAATCCGGAATCCTACTAAAGATTGGCATCCAGAATCCAAGTTACCGAAAGATCCACTCCACATTGGATTGAGCTACTCGCTCGAAAGAAAAACCATCTATGGAAAGCCTCCCCAGGGTATATGCCTCAACGTGACGACATACAGTGTAATATCGGCATATCTGGTGTCAAAACCATACTTCACGGGCTCCATATGAAAGGTCAACGTCACGGTCAGCGAGGGACCCTTGCTTATGAGCGGCTTCGCCCCATGTAAGGGAATCCAGGACAGTCTTGGATTCTGGATTCCATGCTGTGGATTCCGGATTCCGGGTACTGGATTCCGGATTCCAGCAAAGTGGATTCCGGATTCTAAAAAGAGCTGGATTCCATTTTTTTACCGGTTTTAATGCTTTTCTTCGCACCTCGTTTTCGTGTTCGAATCTTGCTATATTGAAAGCCGTTGTTACAAGGCATAACAAGTTTGTTTTCTTTTTCGATTTACAAAATTACAGGAAGAAATGCATTACAGTTCCGTAAGGGTTTATGGTATAATAATGAGGGGAACATTGGGGGACTGTCTTTACCGCAACACCGCAGAAAAAAATAACAAACACCGCAGTTTTCTCCATGTAATTGGGGATGGAGCATCTCGGAGAGCTCTGGTTAGTGATTAGTAGAGAGTGAGACTGACCTCAGGACTCTATTTTTCAGTTAATCTACTTTTGTGAACTCTATTTTCAGCCATGCAGATAGAAAAATGTATGCAACGCCCAGATTTCGCCTGTTATCCTTTTGTTTTGAAGTGTTTTTGTATAAAAAGACCATACAGATCAACCTTCGTTCCGGATATGAAAGAGCAGTGAAACATTTATTATTTAATCAATTTTAACCGACGTTCCTAGGCCGGGTGGAATTTGTTTTGGCTTGTTTTGGGTCGTTGTGGATCTTTTGTCGATTAGTTTTGATCGTTGTGGATCGTTTAGGTCGTTTTGGCTCTTTTTGCCTGGTTTCTCGTTTTATTAGTAACTGGCCAAATGAAAATACTCTGTTGCGTGTGCAATTCATTCTTTGCAAAGTCTTTGGTTCTGTTCACTAAAGAGTAGTTTTCCGTCTCAATAAAACTTGGAAAACCATTTCTATCTTATCTTTTAAGACTTTTTAAAACTCTGTCTCCGTGTCAAAAAATATTTTTGAAGAGGGTATAAAATTCTCGCGTAGAAGTTTACGCGTAGTCTGCTTTGAGGTTTTAGCGCGGGCAATGATAATGAAATTCAAACTAACTGTCGCGTTGAATTTGATGTTAAAAAGAACCAAAACAACAAAAATTTAGTTGATTCATACTTAAGATGTGCGTATAACCACGTTTTGTTACAAAAAAACTTCACGGTTCTATCAAATTCGTTGCTTAACACGTCGAAAATTGAGGATTTATTTCGAACATGCGCTCTTTAATCGCCTTTCACATCGGCCTGACAGGCAATAATCGGATTTAACCAGATCTCGCCTTCGGCTTCGTCAATAAGAGATCTGGGTCTTTGAGATGATCTGGGGTCTCTAGGATCCATTTCAAACAAAAAAAAAGTTACGGGCTAAACCGATCTCTGATCTGTCTAATTTCCAATAGCGACCTCAATGTGAACGAGGCCTATTCAGGAGCACAACTGTAGAAAGAAAACATGAAAAATCCGTCTGTTCCTCGACCGAATCTGAGATGACTGAGAGACCAAGAGAGACTTGAACGTTTCTGACGCGTTGGCTCGTTTTAAGCGTTTTACAACCATATAGCGCTCATTTATACGATATTTTTTCCACGGACGACGTAAACTTCATATCACATTCAATTATGATTGAGAAAAAAAATCAATCTTTCGTTCACTTTTTCACGTTTAGATCTATCAGTCAGCTAAAAATTGGTATAAGACTTAACAACCCAGTATTACAAGTACCTTTCTCTCTCAGCCTTTTGTTTTTGCTTGGGCTTTCCCATAACGCATTTTTAAAAACTTAATCCAACAGACAACAAACTTAAAACTCGTCTCGTCGATGTGGTGGCGAGATTTCACTCGAATGCCGGGGATGAATGAAAAAGACACCCACCACGTCCGTGTACGTGATTACTTTAGTAACAGCTGATTGGTACGGTTCTGACAGTACCTAGCTTATTTCTCAAATAAAGATTATCGACTCCGGCCATGAAACTGTTCTCACCGAAGCTACTAGGACCAAATTAGGGACTAGGAGACTGTGAATGTCTTTTTTCTTTTTTGGTAAAATGTTGAAAGTGGACGTTTATTTTCAATTGTGAACGAGGAACAGGAAGGTTCAAGAAAAGGTTCACCCCAGGTGCAACTTTTCCGGTCCTATGCCAGGTCAAATTGCTTTTGATTTTTTAAGTTCAGCGAAGCGAGTGAACAACAGAGAATCAAACATAGCCAGAAGTTGAAGCTATTCACAACAATCCAATTTATACCTTCAAAAGGCTGCGCTGTATTCCCTCGAAAATCCCCGAATTTTGTGATCCTACACAAAAACTACAAACACTACGAACACTTCAATGTTTACGCTTAAATAAAAACTGCTGACCCAAAATACTGTACCGGTTGGAATAGTGGCGAGAAAAGGGAGTAAATAATTCCAACAACAAAGAAAGATATTCTGCAGGAAATTTGGATGACATTCTATGAAAGTATTGCAAATCAATGTACGCAGACTTTAGCTGTTTGGATGTTCATTGCAACTTCTGGGGAACGTGCAGTGTACTTCGACCCTGCTTCGACTGGGAAGCGAGTGTTTTTAAACTGACACCAGCGAGTTATTTGAGGCCAGAGGGAGCACAAATGGTAAAAAATCTGCAGTCCTCACTCTTCATTTTTCACCCAGCCCTGCGTTTTACTAGCCTGCAATCACAGCCGTTTCTCCTTACTCCACGTCGCTGGTCCGCGTAGTCTGCAGTCCGCCGTCTTACACTGACCGGCTGACAAAGGTCGACAAACACTATGGATGCTGTTTAATGCATGAGTTGGGTACGGATACACTTTTAGAATCACGTGTTTTACAGTTTAAAGAATAAATTTTTTTAGCTTTTAGGGGAACTGGATTCATAAAATCAAAATCTATTCTCTATAGCAACCTATCGCTGCATTTTTCTTAAGGTCGATTTGTTTCCGAGCGCCCGTAAAATTAGACCAATCACTTTTCATCTGGTAGTCACATGATCACCTTCTAAAGTTACTCCATTTCATGTTTGTCGAAAGAGGGAAGACAGCAAATTTTCGGCCGCTTAACAGTTTTTCTGGCCTCATTTCTTGCATTTTGTTCTTCAGCGATGGATTGGCTTTAACAGGAAATTAATGAGCAATATCTTAGGCCCATGCCTGCCACAGGAAGCCAAAATGGCGGTAGAAGACGACGGGTCTGGCTTGTGTTATTCCTCGTGTGTGTTGAAGCGTCTGATGTAACTCCATTCGACTGTTCGAGAAATGCTACAGTTGCGCCGATCAAGAAAGAATCCTTCTTCGATTATAAGACATCTGTTGTTGAAAATGGTACGTACATTTATCTTGTTTCTTTTACAATCGTTGTAATTTGTATACAACTTGTTGGCTTGTTTCTTCACGTGATTGAATTTGAACTGTGAAATTTAAGGAAAACTACTTTAAGCTTATTATCTGAAAGTCTTTTGTTAGGTTACGTTAAGTTTATGCTTTATTACATAGCGTCGATTCTCTCAGGAAGTTGCAAAACTTTGTTTCTTTCAATGTACGCAGCATTTATTAGCTTCTAATCTGTGTCTGTAAAATGGGACGCGTTATGATAAATGTGGATGTCTTTTCAAATCTCGTCGGGGCTTTAATTATGCCATGATTTCAATGTTTGCGTGATAAAAATCAGCCAATGGAGTTTCTACAAGTTTCATCTACAAATCACTTTGTTAGTCTTACGAACATTAATAAAACTCTTATAACTGTAATTAAGGGGGATCTCTTTTAATATTATATTTGTTGTCCTATTTCACTAGCTCTTAATGCCATATGGTCGCAATACAGATCATTTTCGTGAATATCGTTATAGATAAAATAGTTTAGTGACTGATCCCGTTAGCTAATTATGACAGTTCCCTTAGTCTACCTTTACAATTCCAAATATATATCAGAAATTAAATTTTGTGTTGAAGTCAGCTGTTAGGTTATGTTAACAAACAGCAAAGTTTTTTTCACACAGTTAAATGAAATTGAAAGTTAGTTATTCAAATTTCTATGCCAGTTTTTACATTAAATCCAAGGGTTAATTTTGTCCAGTATGCGAAAATTATCTCAGAGACAAATGGTGTTTAGTACACCCCAACAAAGTCTGATTTTAGTTGTCACATTTGAGAAGAAAATCTGTGGGCAGGATTTCCCATTCAAATTTAAATGCAACACAAGATGTTATATGTTCTTGCCACTTTTTAAACACAGTAACAGTTTATTGCTTTTTTTAGCAGGATCGTAAAAACTGCATGTATACAATTCCACATTTGTTTCAGGCCCATTTTTGTTGTCCACAGATTTGCTTTTAGTGGAATTATTGTCACAGATTTCCTAGTTGTTTTCTATTGCATCTCGATCTCTACCTTAACCTAAGCGATAATATTACATAATTACGAAAGGGTTCAATGTTCAGCGAGCTCACAGTGGCAAATATAAGCAATCAAAAATATTGTGTTCAAATTAAGCAACTATAACTGAGTCAAGCTGATGTGGAATATAAATCATTGTCTAGTTCAGGGTTCTATTTCAAATGTTCAGTCCTCCTGAGATTCTTCCTGTGCTATGGCAGCAATCTGCTGACGCGCAACTGCCGCGGATCTCCTTGGCTGGAACTCAGGTGCTTGGGCATGTAGGGTCACGCCCCTCTCTTCAACAGGTCGGTCACAAGACAACTCTAGGGGATACAAATGCTGCACTATCGCTCTAAATAGGACTTCCCAGCTCTCAGCCGTGCTCCTCTCACCATGCCATCTCTGCCTTGAATTAGCTGTTTGACAATACTGAACCTTCATCTTCCTTGGTCATATTCGTCCCCTTTGATCAGAACAACGTCCCCTGGGTTCACAGTCACTTCTCCTGTTCTACAGTTGAGATTGTGACGCTCTTTTAATGCGTTAAGGTACTCTGTGGTGCACCTTGGGCACAGGACGTCTTTGCATTGTTTCAGATATTTTGCACATTTCCTTAGGTTAACATCTTCAATCACTTCTGCCTCCTCCTCTGGTAACTGATTGGGCTGCCCATACAGCATTGCACTGGGTGTGAGAACGGGCCTTTGAACATCATCTTGGACGTACCCCAAGGGTCGGTTATTTAGAGTACTTTCGATATCTAGGATTACTTCCTTCAGCTCGTGCCAATTGCAGGTTCCCATTCCCAATTGGCTTGTACAGGCTCTGCTTTATGACACCAATTAACCTCTCGAATTGGCCCCATCACCATGGCGTGCAGCTGAGATTGAACTGCCATGCAATCCCTTGTTTAGCAAACAGGTCATTGAGTTTCTCATCATTCCTTATCTTCCTCAACCACTTTGCTGCTGCGACAAATTTTTTCCAATTGTCCAAGAAGATCTTCTCCAGACGTCCTTGCCTGGCGATCAGTTGCTTGATACTCAGATGAACTCTTCCACGCTAAGGTTAGGTTGGATCTCCAGGTACACGGCTCGAGTTAGGCAGCATGCATACGGCACAATGTAAGCTTTCATTTCTCTTTTGGACTTATTGAGGTACTTAACTGGTCCAGTGAAATCCACACCAATGTACTTGAATGGTACCGATCCTTCAGTTTTCTCCTTTGGCAAACTTCCAGTTGGTGGGTTTGCTAATGCCGTGATTTGATATCTTTTGCAGCCATAGCAGCTTCGTATAACCTGTTTCGTCAGACTTCTTAACCCTGGTACCCAGTAGCACTCTCTGACACTTGCCACTGTTAATCCAACTCCCCCATGCTAGGTTTGCAAGTGGGGATACATGACAAGCCTCTCAGCAAATACAGCATCATCAGGTAGATAGATTGGATAAACTCCCTGGATACCGCCTCTGCACTCGAATATACCTGCTGCATTCTTTTGCAGTTTGAGTTGCAGCTTGTCTTCCTCAAACTTAGTTGTGTTCAGGCTTCTGTCTTGTGATCTTCGTGCCCAGAATTGTACTTGTCTGGTTGTCTCCTCAGTGGTGACTGGTTTAGTGATTCTCTGCTGGTGCTTAGCTCTGCTGTTCCAAACAAATCATGCCACCCACGAACAGATTTGGATGGCTTTCCGCAGGTCCCATTTTTGCATCATCAGGTCTAGTTGGTCATCTGTTATGGCAGTCATGTCCAGAAGATCTTTCCAATCTTTGCTACCGCTTGTGTTTCCTTGGTAGGTGTGGTAACAGTATTTTCAAGCCATCTGTGTTGGTACGGAAGCCATGATGGCCCATGCCACCAAAGATCCAGGCACTTGCTGATTCCCCTGCCACAGCTTCCTAAATCTGCTGGGTTTTCCTTGGTACCCACATGCCTCCACTGGATGTTCCAGACTCGATTACTGACAAACTGCTTTTGGTCTTCTCCCCCTTTGATCCAGTGAAGGGTGACGCTACTGTTAAGCCAACAGTAGACACCTTCGAGTGGATATCCTTGTATCTTGTGATACCCTGGATGGTTGATGCATGACAGCATAAACTGCTCTTGACATACCTTGGCTGCTTGCGTCACCAAAGGCGTGGATGCTGACGCTGGTGCTTGCTTCTTGGTGCTTGACAATGCTTCTTGGTACCTCTATCTTCCCTGGAAGATTGGTTTGCCAACTGATTTTGAGTTTCAGGGGAAGTTTTTGGTCGAATTCCATCAGGTTTCACACACTTGCTTGTACATGATTTTTTCCTCCAGGTTAATAGGTGCTAGTCCTAGAGGATCGTAGATCTTTGCGATTTCTCTTAGGACTTTTCTCTTTGTTTCATTGTAATTGGAGCAGGGAAGTTGATCTGGATTGTGTCATCTTGTTCCAAGGTATACCAAGCTCTTTCGTTTCTCCTTGTTTGACTCCCAACTGGTAATTAGCATAGCTCTGGCTTTCACCTTGAGGGATGGTTGGTTTTCCTTCTGTTGCTAGTTCTTGGGGTGTTGGCCGTTCCAGGGAGGGTACATTGGAATGCCATTTATGAAGCTCAAATTTTCCTTCTTCCCCCGGCGGAAGAAGGGTGATGTTGACAAACCAAATATCGCTCGTGTGAATTGTAAGGTTCCACTTCTTTGGTGGCTAGATCTTTGGATAAGTGAAATTGCATCATGTCCCTTTCTTTTTCTTGTATTCTGACTTGGAAGAACGATTGTTTTAAATCTCCTGCTAGTGCCTCAGGTTGGAATCGCGGTTTCTGATTAGTACAATGTACACTTCAAAGGTTGTTCTGTAAAGTTGGGCCCATCTCTAGACGATCGTTAAGGGATGGTGCTTTCTCGTTAGTTCACGGAGACACATCGTAGACAATTCAGATCTTCGTGCTCTCTGCTGTTTCCTGAACGATGGCCTTTTGTGGGATATAGAATGCTTTCCCTTGCTGTTCGCTGTGCACTCTTAAAACTATCCCTTGATGCAAAACTTGCAGGTTGAAGAACAGCGGCATTTTGAAGCCATTGAAGCACAACTGCTTAAGGTTTAACTGTTTCCTGCGTTCGTGGATTGTCGTGACCTTGTCGCAGTTGACTGACTGGTGCTTGGAGCTTTCACAATAAACACATGGCCTTCTTCTCTGGTCATGTTGTCTGACTTGGTAACTTTTCATCTTCAGTGGCTTGAATGGGAATGTTTTCTCATTGCCATGTCTCTCATCGGCTGGTTGTGGTGGGTTTCTTGAAGTCCACTTCCGCAATGCCTCTAGCAGATGTGGAAATTCCCAATCCTGCCAATTGTCATCTGTATGCACCAAATTTTCTCTGATTCCCTCCATTTTGTCTAGCATCATTCTAACATATCCATTTACCTCCTTTATCTTCCCCATGGTTTCTAAGGCTTGTAGATTGGGCGACAATGTTTCATAGAATTCCAAAATCGTTGTTAGGATTAGATCCATAAATGACTGGAAGTGACATAATGTTGGTAATGTGTGCGTTGACAATTTCACTTTCCTTTCCATACTTGGTTGTTAGTATGTGTTTTGTTCGTTCATTGCCTTCTTCGGTAAATGGAAGGCCTTCAAGTGTTGCCCAAACTTTTGGCTCCAATAAGCTCCTTAAGATACGAGAACTTGGTAACAGGTGACACATGTACATCTGCTGAGTCGATTTCTGTCTTGAACTGGTTCCAAAATCGCGGCCAGTCTGTGTGCGTTCTATTAAACTTTGTAATTACAAGTTTTGGCAGCTTTGTGTTGATTGATTGCTTGGTGTTGGTTCATTGTTCCTTATTGTTTAGATTCTTCCGGTTTTCCTCTATTTGCATCTCGTACTTGAGTTTTTGTTCCAACTTTGCCTTTTCAAATTGCATTTCTTCATGATATTTTTGTTCTCTGATCTCTGCAGCCTGGTCCTCTTCTCTTTTCTTTGCAGCTTGAAGTGATACGCTCTTTAATTCCTTGATCCTTGCGTCTAGGTCATTGACAGCCATTTTAAACACACCTATGTCCCCTTCCAATTTCGTATTCCAAAGAAGGATTTCATCTTCCTTGTTTCCCCCTCCAAATCGTAATTCATGTACTTTCACCTTAAGGTCATGGACTTCTTCCACCTTCATTGCTAAAGTGTTGCACAGCCTTTCCATTGATGTAAGGTTTCCATTCTCTGTTGCGCTACTTGCTTGTGAACATGTAAACTTGAGTAGATCGTCTTGTTGAGGTTTTTGATGTTCTTTTCCATATTCTTGATTTCTCCGTGTCCTGGCAGGGTCGCCACTTTTGTCGTGAACGGGTTTCTGACAAATAATCACTCTTGATATGGTTGTCCACAGGTTTGCTTTCAGTGGAATTATGGTCACAGATTTCCTAGTTGTTTTCTATTGCATCTCGATCTCACCCTTAACCTAAGTGATAATATTACGTAATTACGAAAGGGTTCAATGTTCAATGACCTTAAGTTCCACTCTGTACATGAGATTCTATGTCATGCGGTGGTCGCCGACAGATTTTCTCTTTGTTTCGGTTAAAGTAGAGGGCACTAGTATTGAAAGAACACAAACATTCAAATACCTAGGCATTACCCTTCAACAGTCTATGTCCTGGGCAGATCATGTCGATGCTATCAGCATGAAGATTAATTAGAGAACAAGCCTAATTTGGAGAATCAGGAATCTATTGCCGCTACAAGCTAGAGTTTCCTTGTACAATGCCCTAATCCTCCCTCTTTTTGATTATGGAGACGTTATATGGGGGGACAAGAACAATGACACCATCATGTCAGAATTACAGATTCTACAGAATAAAGCTGCTAAAGTTATGCTGGGGCAACCACCCCGAAGCTCGTCAACTGAAGCACTGAAGAGTCTAGATCTGAAATCACTGTCCACAAGAAGGTTTTTTCATCGCTGCATTGCTATCCACAAGTGTCTTATTGGAGAAACCGATTTCAACTTTAATTTTACTAAAACTCAAGCTGTTCATTCATATAATACAAGATGCTCAAATGATATTCGCTTACCCCTACCCAGAACAAACTGGGGTAAACAAACTTTTATTTTTCATGCCATGAAAGACTGGAACAGCCTTCCAAATGATTTAAAAGAGTGTAATATTTTATCTATTTTTAAATCCAAGTTAAAAACTTTTTTAAAAGATCTCAGCTAATTTTTAAACCTTGATATTTTTTGTATAATCGATTTTAAGATTTTAAATTTTTAAATTTGTTTTACTTGTAAACATATTTTACTTTTTCGTAATAATTAATTAATTAGTTAGATTTATGCATGAGGGCCCTACTGAAAACCGCCTTGGCGAGTTGGGCTCCCTCTATAAATATTATTATTATTATTTATTATTATTATTATTATATCTGAGATATGCTGCTTGCTGATTTTAAACTGGAGTGCTTAATTTGTTCCTTTCTCTCCTTTCTCCAAGGTGAAATAATCGTTTGCTTATCCTTTGTGGAGAGATGAGACCGCTTTTTTTTTTCCTGTTTCACAGACATGGCAATTGGTCTTGTGTTTACATAACCCACACTGAATCAAGCATGACATACCCTTAGCAACATAACCAGCCAATCAGAATTCAGCTGAATGCATCAGAATAATTGTTCATCTCCAACCGCTCATGCTTTTTCAAAGCAGAAACAGATTAAAAAACAGTGCTTTTAACACATGTTTGGAAGAATAAATGCCCTTTTAAATCATTTCAATTTTTCAAGATCACATCTTATTGATATTCATGAAAAAAAACGGGACCAGGAAAACAAGTCTGGATAATCGAGGTTCGACTGTATTGGGTGATTAAGATGATATTATATGTTGTATATGTTTTGACACTTACAGGTTTTCAGTGTTTTCACTAAGAGCTCAAGCAAGGCCAAGTTGAATTTGAAAGGTGGAAAATGCCATCCATTGGATAAGACTCTATCCAAACGATTGCAGAATTGGTTTCCCTAATACTTGTCCACTGGATAGTGATTTATCCAGTGAAGATTGCTATCTGACGTTTGAAAAACTGGAACCAGTTGGCTATAATTAGCAAGAACTAACACTGTCGCTTTCCTCTAGGGGTGTTGGGGGATGGTCTCCCATATATTATATATATTTTTAATTGGGCAGCTCAGAAATGCCATTTCCAGAAAAGTAAATGTAACACATCATTGAAAAGATTTAAGGTTTCTTCCACTATCCAGGTACTAATAAACAAGTTGGCGGCTTGTCCAAGACCAAACTCGTCCTTTTTTGGATATGAGGTCAAACACTTCTTAATGTGTCTGTAGTTGGCTGTTGAAGTGACTTACATGTGAAATTCCACTCTAACTTCCAAACATTTGTATGGTTATTATGATCCAAGATCCAAACTTCCTTTGTAGTGATTCGTTATTTTCTCCCTGTGAATCTTAGTTTGCATATTAGTGAATTTCAGATTGTGATTTAAAACACTGATAAAAGTACATGTGTATGTGCTTTGTTTGTAGAATATATAGTTGTCTTCAATGGTTATTACAGCACATCAGTGCGAGATGACCTTGTTACTGCCGCCCTTGGCTCAGTTTCCATTAATTCCTGGAAGATAATCCCTCGGCATAATCCTGCAAGTCACTACCCTAGTGATTTCTCTCTTGTAAAGGTGAGGAAACTAACCTTAAAAAACGAGCAGGATCGTATTACCAGGTTTAAAAACTCAAGGTGAAGCCGTGAAGCCGAGAGTTTTTACACCTGATAATACATGACTGCAAGTTTTTGGAATGGCTTCAAAATCTCTGATATGGATCAACTCATTCTTGCACTAATTATTAGGTTTGAGGTTATTTTGGTCTAAAAAAACTGGACATAAAATTTAGCCATGTTGTTATCAGATACATGTAAATACACTCATTAAACATTAATTTCTTTGGTTTTCTTTATGAATTATTTATGAGTTTTTGAAGCTGTTTAACCTGTACTTACATTGTATTATAATTGTAGATTCCATATTAACTGGGCAGTTCTTTAATTACATGTAGTAGAATATACTGGGAATTATTTCAATGGTACAGGTGTAGACACAATATTATTGCAATATGGGTCATGTAAATATTGCAAGTAAATGTTAATGCTACTAGGCCATTTTGAAACAACAGTGAAACAGCATTATTAAGAGGAAAATGAATGTATAGAACATCATACTGCTTTCATACTCTAAAAAAACTAACATGTACATGTAATGTACCCTGATACATTTTTGAGCATACATGTATGTCTGCAATTTGGGTTGGCTCAGACACATGTACCACATATTGCCAGAAGTATGTATACATGTTACGAGTCAAATTTGATTTCAGGTAATGTTTTTTTAACCTAAGTTGATTCTCAATTTCTCTTGTCTCTTTGGGCTAGGAGACAAGAGAAACTGACAATCAACCTAGGTTAAAATATTTAATGTGAAGTCAAATTCGACTTGTAACATGTATACATGTTCTCTAGACTTGCTTTGTACATTTTGGTCAGTGATTGTTATTTCATACATGACTTAAATATAATTTAGCTGCAAGTAATATACACTAGAATTTAATATTTTTTTTGCTTATATTGCAGCTGAAAGGAGATACTGGCAATGGTGTTGATGCATTAAAGAGACATCCAAAAATTCGGAGCGTTACACCACAGAAGAGGGTGGAACGATTCCTCAAGAGTGTAGAAGGTACAGTAAGACAGTGTATTATGAGATAAATTTAAAAAGTCACCTTAATGTAAACAAATTTTAAAAGCGAATACGAAGAAGGCTTTGGACTAGGCCATAACATAATGTGAACTGCTGAGAATACTTTATCTTTCATCTGCATATTGCAGAATACAAGTTGTCAAAAGCCCTCTGGGGGGGGGGGTGCACACCCAACACCCTCCCTCTAGATCCACTCCTGATCCTTCACCATTTTGATCAGTTCACATTGTCAAATGTACAGACTGTTGCATTTTGTAATGTCCTTTTGATTGTCACAAGATGACAAGGATAGTGTTATTTCTCCTCCTGGGATGGAAAGTACTAATGAACTTTTTAATTAGCTGATTTCTTGATACGTTATGTGTACCTTTATATGTACCTTTTATGTGTATCTTTTTTCTTCCTAGTGAAACAGAGCGATTCTGACAAACAAAATGAACCAGGTGCTGACTGTGCAGAGCAGGATATTGGCTGCTGGTCTCAAAAGTGGAGTGCACGGTATTAAAGAAAACTTATCTCAATTCTTTTCACATCCATGGGCAGTTTGCAAGGTCTTCTTGAGACTTTCACATAGTTGCCATTACTTTGTGTGGAGGCTTTTTTCTGTATGTTAGTTACAGCTGCTTTTTTAAATAATGCATTAAATTATCTGAAACATTGACTGTTGATATGAATTTTATTTATCTTTCAGGCGAACAACGCGATCAAGCTTGGCATTGGTGAGCATTTTTTGTGTTTCTTCGTCACATTGTCTCACCTCTTTCTTAGAAAAGTTTTGTCATTCTGCAGATTCATTTATATGTAGTGTTGGAGGTCTGAATAGTCTATTATATACATTCACTACACATACATGTATCCACCCCCCCTCCCCTCCCCCCACCTCACCCCATACACTACTGTATATGTATTACTTTTTTTGACATACATGTATGTGTAGTAATACAGTTGTACCTCTGACAAAGACAAATGAACTAAAAGAATGATAGTGTGAGTGTGCCCAGGCTTTTCTCAATACTAATGATGATAAAATAATGAATAACTATATGAATTTCATATATTTGAACTGCGAGATGAAAAAATAAATTAATGTAAATAAGATGATCTCAATTGAAGATGCAACTGATGCAGTTGTGAAAACAAAGTTTTTTAGACTTTCTTTTCATAGCTGCATACACAATTAATGTAAGTTGAATCATTAATTGTGATGGACGTCTTTACATTGTACATGCACATTATTTTTTTTTTTACTAATGATCATGCATGCTTCTTTATACATGTACCAAAATAATGTTTTCCTATTTTTAATGCGTTTAAAGTTTTCCTCTCTCTTCCTTCGTAGTTTTAACTTTGATAAATATATATAAGTTTTTTAACCTACTAGGTTGATTCTCTACTTCTGTTCTATCTTAGCCCCAATTATTCAATTATGGCCAGGAGACAAAGAATATTGAGAATCAACCTTGGTTTAAAAAACTCCATTCTAAACAATCATATAATTTTGACCTGTTACATATGCATGCAAAGCTGATGGTACAGTACGTGTACTGTGACTTTATAACCTAGATGTATTATGAGCACCATATTACTGTAGCCATGTGACTGTCTTCTCGCCTCTCTAATGAATACTGAACAGATTTCATTGTTAAGTCAATTATTTGGATTTTTTTTCTATTCTTGCTAGTTTTTTACTCTGCTGTATTTTAAAGAAATTGAATAAACAAAAATGAACAATAAATAAAATTATCACCTGTAACGTGTAGATTAGTCGCTGTTCTGGTTGTTCTTGTTTTAGAGTCACAACCTCTTGATACAATCACAGTTGCGTCACAATTCTGGACGGAGGATTTTAAGATCTGTTCCTAGACAGGTGTGTACTGCAAGAATTACTGTTTCAACATCATGAATTAAACACTTTCTGGGAAAATATACACTGTAGAAATTACTGTACCAGTGAAAGCACGAGTCTTAACTACATGTACATGATAGGTGTCCTAGAAATGATAATAGAGAAAAAGAAAATATCATTGTTTACTACAGTATATCAGTGGTACTGTTAATACAGTCAAACCATATTAATACAGACACCAAAATTGGGATAAAAGAGCCAATTGTGCACAATTACAATAGTGTCTATATTGTAGAGGTTGGGGTTAGAGGTAGAAGTATTAAGTTTGCCATTTGTAAGACCTGGAGGATATTGTTCTTAGTGGAATGGTGTTGATAAGGAGAGGTGTACTGTACAATATTTGCTATCACCGTTAATTTATAGTATGGTGGAATGGCAACAGTTTTGAATAAAACTTTGTACTAACCTACAGCTACACATGTTTATGTATACTGCACATCTAGAACAGTTTATAATTTAATAGTATTCTCTGGGAGTATGGAAGTGTTTATTTTGCACTGTCTCTCTCTTTTTTTTTTTTCATCCACTTATCAAGCAGTCCGTGGTCCAAAGTATCATAATTTTTATTATTCATTTTTCTTTTAGATCGTTCATGTCCTGCAAGCTGATGTGTTGTGGAGCATGGGACACACAGGTAGGAGGAATTTAGTAATACATGTAATAATGATAATGATGATGATGATGGCTATAGTAAAAATACAGTGGAAGCTTTCTTAAAGTGGACACCCTTGGTATTCGAAAAAGGTGTCCGTAACTGGAACTGGCCGCTTACGGGAATGCAAAACTACAGAGTTTGTTTGAGAGTTGAAAAAAACAAACAAACAAACAACAGGCTTTTCTGAAGGCGGCCATTTAAGTATCTAGCTGTCCACTAGTGTTTTTGTAATGTACAAAAGTTAATACATGTAGCAAAGACTATCATTTTGCAGACAAAATAAAACCTGCAGTTGTTCTTAGAGCACACATGAATTATCTTATTAACAAAATAATGTTGTTTCATTGAATATAATTATGGTGGCGACCAGTCTGAATGGTGACTTGTAAAGGCGGGTATACAGCACACTGTATTTGATGTAAGTGATGATGTAAGTGTACATGTTGACCTGTCCACTAATGACCTCTGTTAAAGAGAGTTCATGGTGTTTAACCCTTCCCAACTAATGAGATATTGCCTTTTTGTTGCAGGGGACGGAGTTAAAGTTGCCATTTTTGACACAGGTTTGCCAAAGAATCATCCTCATTTTAGAAAGGTTATGGACAGAACCAACTGGACAGAGGAAAAAACACTGGATGATGGTGAGAAATCATAAACATTTGACTACAGTTTCTACATGTATTGTCATTAAGTGACTACTAATTATAGTAACAGTCCAATTTTATTGCACTTTGTCAACATTGTATGCATGTAAAATCATCACGGAAGTGATGAATTCAGGAGCTGAGATGTTACAATTGTAATAAAATGTACATCTGTTGGCGTGCGTGTAGTGTCCGATAGCCCGGGGCTAGTGGATTTTGCTATCGGGCTAGCGAATTTTGTTCTTAACTTGCCCAACGGGCAAGTGAAGTTTTTTTGAGGAATTCAAATTACAAAAGAACTGTGAATTCCCAAATTATTTCTACTCATCAAAATGATTTTGGGGCTAGTTGAAATGTCCTTTGGGTAAGTATATTCTAGCTTCAGCGTGCCCGAATGGCAAGCTTTAAAAGTGACTTTCTTTGCACCCTGTGTACATACTCTTTTATGTCTGAGCCTCTGAATACAGCCATCACTAGGGTTGTTGAGTGAGGCTACAATAATTGTCCCAGCGAGACACTATATTTGTAAACAGTTGTGTATAAACTGTATTATGCATCTCAAAAGTTCAAGTCACCTGTGCCATTACATTTCCATTTCCATTTCCTTCCATTAGTTTAGTTTATTACTTAATACCTGTTGTTGTACTTTTAATGGCAGGACTTGGCCATGGTACCTTTGTAGCTGGTGTTGTGGCCAGTTCAAGGGAGTGTTTGGGCTTTGCACCTGATGCAGAGCTGCACATCTTCAGAGTGTTCACTAATAGTCAGGTACAGGAACATTGATTGAAACACATTACATGCATATAGCTGCATGGATAAGCAAGTTGTAAATTATTAATGATTTTATTATCACTATCATTATTAATGTTATTAGAGAGGATATGCTTTCAGAGAAGTTAGTTCTTGCACAGACTACAAGGCTGCGCTTAAGCACTGTCATATTGTTTTTTTTGTTTGTTTTTGTTTTTTTTTCAAACACATGAAAAATATTTTACTTGGTGATAAGTAAATAATGCATTATTGTTATTACATGTATTAATATTATTAAAATCATCATCGTTGTTATTGTCATTATTATTACAAATCTTACTGTGTTAATGACAGGTTTCCTACACTTCGTGGTTTTTGGATGCATTCAACTATGCAATTCTGAAGAAAGTGAATGTTTTGAATTTGAGCATTGGAGGACCAGACTTCATGGACCAACCCTTTGTTGATAAGGTTTGTGTAACTACTTACAAGTTGTATTCACAATTTTTTTTAGGTTGTCCATGTACAGTACACTGCACAATTCATTATTCATTAAGATTTAGGACACTTACATGTAACTTTCAGGGAAGGATGGGATGTAGCAGAAACTATTAGGGGTGAGCGGTGGGTGGAGGAGGGGTGAACTTTATATTCTAGGGTTGAGTTGTTGAAAGGACATGTAGCTCTAATCAGGGGTTAGTTTCCACAACAACTCATATGATATCTCCTATTTATAAGAACTTCAAACAACTTGGCCCAGTTGTACATGTATTATTACAGAGTAAGAGAAAATTTTTTTTTTTTTTTCCACTTGTCCTTCAGAGAAGTGCTATATTAAATTTGTTGTCCAAAATCCAAGAGTTCTTGTCCAAAAAGTTTTGTCAGGTTCCTAAGCCAAGTGGAACTCACAAAAACAAATAAAATGGCCCCAGTAGGGCAAAGTTAAAAGGATACCCTTATTTTCTCAAGTATGAGGATTGCTTTTATGACTAAGATAAATTATACTTGTGTTCTACTGTAATTTGAAGTCAATTTTCAAATGTTTCTGTATTTTTTCTAATTAAAAATGTTCTTTTCCCACGGACACGTCATAAGGTTTACATGTCTGAACTAAATTTCTACCTGTCCTGGACAATCGGACAGAGGTTTTGGCTCACCCTGATTATTACAGTATTTATAAAATAAATGTATTAATTATCGTTGTTTTGCTTTGTGATTGTCAGGTGTGGGAGCTTACTGCCAATGGTGTGGTTATGGTTTCTGCTATTGGCAATGATGGCCCTCTCTATGGGTAAGAAAACAGCAGTGTACTGCATTTGATGAACTTAACATGATTGTATTTCTATTACAAATTTCATTAGACATTGTTCCATACCCCCAATGTAAACTTACACTGTATACGTAAGCCCCAGTACATAACTCGCATTTCACATTTTTCTGAATCTAATGCCAATGAGCAAGAACATCAGATTTCCCTCATTAGAATCCAATTTGGCACTTCTGACATGTGAATTGTGAGGTTTGAACTGGGCCTAAGGGATACTGCAAAACATTGACAAAGGATTTATTTGTTGAAAGACAAAAAATAAACCAAGCCTGCTCGTATAATGAACAATCTTATTTACACCAAGTTTACAAATGGCACAATTCAAACACTTGTCATCTGAGGTTTCCTAAGACACGAAAACATTATCACACCTTTTTCCTGACTGTCACAAGGATATGTGTACACAAGCCATACAGTTTATTTACATCCAGAATCAGTTAAGGTGAATTTGTGAAAGCGCCATCAAAATTAATTTATTTGAATGTTTACAACATAATAGTTAGGCTTCCATCCAAAAGTTACACGTTGGCTCTTTCAAGGGTTCATTATTGTGACAAAAATAACAACAAATTCTGAACAGTGTGCATGTAGTGGCCATCATCTGGTGTTTTAATTTGTTGCTTTTCCACTTTGAAGAACTCTGAATAATCCCGCTGATCAGATGGATGTCATCGGTGTTGGAGGAATCAACTTTGAAGATCACATTGCAAGATTTTCTTCCAGAGGAATGACTACATGGGTAAAAACTGCCTCAAGAATTTTTCTATCAGTCTGTAATGACTATGTGAATGCAGATGTATTACCCGTGTTGACTTCTATACTCTAAAGGCGGAAACAAATGATGACTAGAAAATAGGGCCTTGCTGCTTGCCAAGGGTTTCGGTAACAGATGTAAACGAGTTTATCATTACGATTGACCCTTTATGTCACGGCAAATAATGTTGACTACAATGCATGCTTTGGTCCCTGTCTTATTCACATTAAAATGAAATGAAGTAATTTAATTGAATTATTAATCCAAATTAAAATTAATATTAAATCAACTCAAAGTCATTACACTTTCACTTGGGATAAAATTCTGTAAAGATGATGTCAATTCCCAATTACTGGAGCAAGAAACAGAGACTTGTTCACATTTTAAGTACATGTATTGTTTTGAGCTGATACCCCCATAAGGCATTCAACTTAAGATCTTTTTCTGTTTTGCCATCTTGTAGGAGCTTCCTAATGGATATGGCCGAGTCAAACCAGACATTGTTACTTATGGTTCTGGAGTGCGGGGATCAAGTCTCAAGTATGATCAGTTTCTGTTTTCTGTTTTTCGTTTTTGTTTTGTTTGTTTGTTTGTTTTTTTAAGTCTAAACAATGGACTCAATTTCCGCTGATCTCTCACGTCCGAACTTATTCCTTTCCGATAAGACACACTTTGTCTTTTCGGAGGAGGAGCAGCATGGACTTACCTCCTGAACAGTGCCTAGCAATTAGGCCTCCCCTGCAGACGTTCTTTTGACTCGTCACGCAATCCTCCCCAACGAACGACGTTCGTAACGCAGGAACGCGTGAGGAACCCAAGAACGTCTGTGTGGGAGGCTGCTAGAAATTGAGCGTATCTGGACAACACTCAAGTAAGCACTGTGTTCATACTTCAAGTATGGGCTTCGCAAATATTTCATCCACTCATTGTTTTAGTTAATCTGTTTTCAGGGGTGGCTGTCGTTCTCTGTCTGGTACCAGTGTTGCGTCCCCTGTTGTTGCTGGTGCAGTTTCTCTTTTATTGAGGTAAACATCAGTTTTGATTCTTTAGCACTTTCTTGCATGTTCTGAGGGTCAGGGTTATTTTTTGGAGTGATTCAACAAGTGGCTTGAATTGGTGACATTTACTGTGCCACTGCTTTGCGCATTCAGCAAGTACCTCCTGGAGATGTAGAAATAGCTTCAGAATAATGGGAAATACGAAAAGTCAGTTTGAAAAGTTTCTCTGAAGAAGGAAAAATTGTTTTAACGCAAATAATTTGAAGGTCAGGGAGCTGATCATTGACTTTTAAGGGAAGCATTGAGTGATTTAGGATGCGTTCGATTGACCTTTAATGCTCGATTCTAGAAGAGGAATACATAGAATAATCATTGACCTGCTATTCCAGTTCTGCGGAATAAGCAGGACATAATTGCGCAAGATTCTGCTCCGATAGTGGAATAATGACGTCATTTGCTCGTGTCCCAGCTGGTTTTCACAATTATAGAGACCTTAAGATCGAGGTTTGGCCATCTTACTGCTAACGGCTAACCACGGCTTGCGATATGCGGTTCAACGTTACTCGCCTGCCCGTATTTGGGACTTAAGATTCCCAAGTGGTATCTCGCGGCTTCCATGTTTGTATTCATTCATTCGTTCACTTTTATTTTAGCTGAGAAATTGTCTTTAAAAATTACGTTTCGAAGAAAAAATTCCATAGCTGATAAGCAAAAGAGTTCTAAAAGAAGTGTTTTCTCTCAAATGTGGGATTGTGATGTTATAGAATGCAAAAAAAATCCTTGGGGTAAATCACCTACCTCTAGAGCGTGGTCTAGCCGTACGAACGTGAACCTCAAACCACAAACCTGCAAGGTACTAGTCACGTGACCTCTTGAAGTTCGCCGTTTGCGGGAACTGCCGATCTTAAGGTCTCTTAAGGTGGACATACCCGGTGACAGTAAACAGCATTTAAACAAGGAAAATGATCAACTCCATTGTAAAGGTTACTACTGGGGTAGAGAAGAAACATGTTGACCTAATTAATTCCTTGAAGAAAAGCGAAAAAGCCTCTGAATTTCTCAGTCGGCATAACCTTTACTAGTGTAAAATCATTTTTAATACAAAAAGGAGTTTTTTTTCATGTTGTCCATAGTGCTGTTCAGCATCGTGGAAATGCTGTGAATCCGGCCAGTGTCAAACAAGCTTTGATGGCTTCAGCTCGCCGCCTTCCAGGCTTCAACATCTTTGAACAAGGTACATATTTTCTTCTTGACTTGCATGTATTTTGTCTTGGAAAAGCAAATTGCCTCTCTATGCTCAGGGCTCGAGACAAGTCCCGTCCAGCAGTCTGGGGCAGGTAGATTTTCTTGCTGGGCAGGTAACTATAAAGCTCACCTGCCCAATGGGCAAAGATAGCAAGTCATCTTCTAACTAAATCATTAACTAAGATGAGCAAGAAGTGTCCGCAGGCAAGCGAAATGTGAGAGTTGGTTGCCCAAAGGACAAGCTGGAATTCAAGTTCTTTTCGAGCCCTGATAATCATTCGTATAAGAAGAGAAGCTTTTTATCCTTTCACAGAATATTTTTGAGAGGTGAAAGATGGAATGTTTTCTGACATGCGCATGTGGTTTCAATAAATGAGCAGGGAGGTAGCCGTGAGTCCACCACGTTAGACTCGCAATATAGCGGGTCCCGGATTCCTGTCCCACCCTGACCGCTAGCTGGATTTGTTTCTCGGTTTTCCTGTGTTTACCTCCTCGGTCATGCATGTATAAATAGAAAGCTGTTTACCTCCTGCACGTTGGGGTTTTTAGCTATGTTACCTTTAAATTGTTTTGTGGTGACTATTTGAGTATGGTGCACTTCCACTGTAAACAATGTATTTACTATTATAAATGATACGCAAGTGTTAATGTTAAGATACCCCTCTATATGGAACACGTAGGGTAACAAATGCATTGTCTCTCTTGCTATAATAAAATATATGAAATATTGCCCTGATACGGATATACATGTTTGTAAGGTATCGCCGTTATAACAAACGGTTTTCCTGCCCTTGAACACTCGTTGATTATTAACTGTGAGGTGGAAGTTTTTTCCTATCAGACTGTTTTTGTTTTATTTCAGGTCATGGCAAACTTGACCTCATCAAAGCATATCAGATTCTCAGCAACTACAAACCTCAAGCAAGGTATTGACCGTCAGTTTGAGCGTACAGTCGAAACCCTACTTATGGTCGCCTCTTAATGGATACATTAATTGGCTCTAACTAGGATTTATCGTTTGGGAGAGAAGTCCCAAGTGGCCAAAGGCTACGAGCCTCTTAGGGTGGTCCGGGGGCATACCCCCCGGAAGTTTTTTGAAATCAATATGTGCAGAGATGCAATCTGGTGCATTTTGAGACACAATTTTGAGAAATGTTACAGTGTGTACACTGACCTCGTCAAGTCTGGATGATTTTCCCGATATGTTTACTTATATACTGTAATGATACCATTTTTTTTTTGGGGGGGGGGGGGAGTTTCTACCCCTCAAATACCCTAGATAGAACCCTGCATGTGAAACTATTATTTACTTTGTCTTCTATGAATAATAAGGGCTAGGAGACAAAAGGACAGTCCTTTTTGCCTACAACATATGTTTGTAAATCAAAATGAATCCACTCCCAACTCCCGATTCTTACAATCTTTTACTTAAATCTGTTACTAGCTATACTTCTTTAGTTTCCAAAAAAAATTAACCACTTGCAAAACAGTATAACTTTCTGTACATGTATTCCCTAGTGCATAGACTCAAATATTTTTGTGTTTGTCTTGTTTCTTGGCAGTTTGAGTCCTGCGTACATAGATTTAACCGAGTGTCCTTACATGTGGCCATACTGCACACAGCCCATCTACTATAGTGGAATGCCAACCACTGTAAATGTAAGTCCTGTTTTGACATAATGGCTTGTTTTGAATTACTTATCAAATGGCCTGTCATAAACTCAACGTCACTGATTCATGACAACGAGGCCATGTGGCTTTGCGAAAGCGAGGCAGTTGGCGTCAAGACAGAGAGTTCAAAGGAAAGCTGTATTCAATCCGCAAAGGCAAAATCTTCAACGTCATCAGGAAATTTTTGTCGCCTGGTCGTACATTGTTGTCATAATCATCATCACTGTCAGCAGTTTTAGGATGACTGTTTTGATTACAATGTGCACCATGAATTTCAAAAGAAACAACAACAACATTAATAACGAAACCTTTTTTCCACTTAATATGCTTAAGGTGCCTTAATCAAGATTCGTGTTCACTATGAGCTGTGTGTCTTATTCATTGTCTTGCTCATGCAACGTTTCTTTTGTAACTTACGCGATTTTGAAAGGATTCTTAACGATCGCATGATTGTTTCTTTAATCAGATCACTATTCTGAATGGAATGGGAGTCACTGGACACATCGAAGGACATGTAAGTTACGTTTCTCCTATACAAAGCCCCCACTCTTTTATCCTGATTCAGCAGAAACTTACAGTCATGTAGCAGCTCCCTTAACCTTAACGATAATAAACAATGATGTGTTGTTGCTTTCTGCGACCAATGAGGAAACACCTTACGAGCATCTCCTACATTACCCGAAACGTAGTGGTACGTGCATTATTGGTCATTTTGAGGTCGAACGTGAGACTGGTACCGAGTTTTGTCGAATTGCACTGTGGTACTGTTTTCGGATGCTATCGCCCTTTTTTATTGGCTATTACGAGGTGGCGCAGGGAGCTGAATCCAAATTCGCCCCCAAAACGGTTTCTTTGTTCGAATTCGATGGAAAATTGCTTTAAAGGGGAAACTACAGTTGTCACGTGGAAATCGAGAGGTAAATGGCACCTACAGCTTCTGACACGCTGTTGTTGTATTTTGAAATCGAACAGAGGAACTGTCTACGCTCCGATAAATATCCCTAACAGAAACCCCCCCCCCCCCCCCCCCACAAAAAAAATGTAAAGAATGTATCATTAATGATGTGTTTACAAACTAAAGTAGCGTCCTGTAACCATAATCAGCGAAGACCAGAGCTGCCGTACAATGCTTTTGTTCAGAATATTTAATGCAAACGTAATCTGAAAATTAAATTCACTGTTCTTCCTATTTACAGCCAACTTGGCATCCCTATCCGTCTCAAAATGGAGACTACATACAGGTAAAAACATTCGTAGTAGTTCCTGTGAAACGATTCACTTTTAATCGTCTAGTTATATATAACACATAGTGACAAAGTGGTTCACTGAGAAGAAGTTGAATAAACAGCACGTACGGGAGAACTGCTGACTAGCTTCGAAATGTATGATCTTGTGATAGAAAAGTGTGTCGAATAGTTGATATTACTTTCCTTCCCTTCCCTTCCCTTATTACTTTGATATCTGAAGGACAAATTAATGATGCAAAATGGAGAGTTTTTCGTCTGATTTCCAAACTCTCATTTAACATTATTTCCTCTTGCATTAACTATTTTCTGTAGAAAATATTAATGAGTCTGAGAACATCATTATGCGAAAACTGTTTTGCAGCTCATCCTGCTTTAAGGTCAGGAAGGCACCCTTCGATTGCCTTTTTTGCTTTCATGGCTGCACAAAGCAAGGTCTTAATGTGTGTCGCTATCTTGGCTTGTTTCATAATAATATTCCAAGACGAAACACACCAACATAGCTCTTAAATGTGGGCGAATTTTCTTGAATTGATTTCTTAATTGTGGTGTTCATGTTCAGAAAGAGAAAGGGAAACTAGCTTTGTCTGCCGTCCACGTGTACCATAAAACGTCGGCCTGCATAAAGATATTTTACATTTTAGTTGTTTAGAGAACAGTAAAGAAATGTACAAGTTCCTAAGAAGTGTGATGCACGTGCAGAGTTGTTTTGCTCGTATAACCTGTTTTTGGTGTTGCTCACAAAAATGACCAAAACAACAACAATGCGTTTCACTGCCGTGATAAAACGATTACGACGTGAAATTTTGTAATTGTTCATTTCATGGACGACATTAAAACAGGACGACGAGTTTCTTTTTCTTTTTCTGAACGTGAATACTGTCCTTAAGAAATCAAATACAGAAAAAGTCGCTGACAGTTGACAAATTAAAAAAAGATGGAATGACAGCGATCAAGTTTGAAACAGCGCAAATTCACATTTTAGTTATCGTTTCTCCTAATTTTCAACCGTGGACATTACCCTTGTACATAAGAAGGCTCACACGACCAAAATTGAATTGCCGCAAGAAATGATCTGAAGCTGTAATACATTTGTTCAGCTTTCATTTACCAGAACAGCATGACGTACAGTGATTGCTTACTTACTTTTATCTGCCTTTTCCTTGCGTTAAGGTTGCCTTTTCTTATTCATCTGTTCTGTGGCCGTGGTCTGGATATCTGGCTGTTATCATCACGCCTGCTCAAAAAGCTGAATCATGGGAAGGCATTGCGCAAGGTCACGTGTCACTCACCGTGATTTCCCCGCCGCAGGTATGGGTGGTTGTTTCAAAACGTTGCTGAAGTGTAACCACTGTTTTAAATTTATGGTAGGACCCTGTTCGTTTTCCTGCTAGCAATTTAAAGCTCTTAACTATATTTGTTCGGGCTCAACTATCAAACTGAAACAGTACACAAGCAGTTAGAGTACGTAGGGAAGGATTGGTTTTCTTACTTCCACATGACAAACAAAAAAAATATATATATTGATACGTAACTCCCTTTAGCCACGTTAAAGATATAGTACAGTCGACACTCTCTTGATGGACAACTCTATAAGACGGACGCCTAAACTTGGTCCCTGCAGTTCCTCAGTAATTTTTTCTTGACTGTCTCGACGAAGGGTACCTTTTATAAGACGGTCGACCGGCATGGATTGGTTTCTTCAAAGAAAGAGTTCACAGCATACCGTTTCTGTGAAATTCTTGGTTAAGCCGTCTCGTATGGTTCACATTCTCATGCAAATTATACAAACCTTACTGTAAGGGTAACCGCTGAAATTGGAAGCGTCAAGAGGTCGTATCGTGCATGTGTCATGTTGTTATACTCTGCTAAAGCGTGAAGCATCCTGGTCCAGAGTCATCTTATCTCTAACTATATGACGTTATTTCTGACCTGCAGGAGTCGGAGATTGAGCCAAGAAGATCTACCATCAAACTTCCCGTTCGTGTCAAAGTGATACCCACACCACCTAGAAGGTTTGTAATGCTGTTTGCGCATTCGGTCAGTAAAATAGGTAATTTTGCACTTGCGTGTCTTTTGCCATGTTCACACTATCACTGGATAGCTTTTCGTGCCGACACTAAAAGCTGTCCGTTATATTGCTAACATCCTCTCTTTCCTACTTATTCAATTCCGCTATAGTCTGCTACTCAGTCGTTTTTAGTGTCGTCACGAAACGTCCCCAGCGTTGCGTGACGATGTTAAAAACGGCTGTGTAGCCGACTACTTCCGCTACGGTCCGAACACAGAACCTATCCGATATGTGACTCTCCAATGAAGAGATCATCGTGGCGCAGCTTCGCTCCGTTACAGAAATCGCGCTGGAATAACCGTCAGGGGCGATTACTGGGCAGAGTTTTGCGTTGTTACTGAATTTGTATTTCATTTTGTATTTGTTTTTTGACCATTCTCATCAGACTCTTACCCATTTAATCCTTGCAGCAAGCGACTGTTATGGGATCAATATCATAACCTTCGCTATCCTTCCGGATATTTCCCGCGAGACAATTTGAAGATGAGGAACGACCCCTTAGACTGGTAAGTTACGATTAGCTTTGTTTTGTAGCGCAAATAGAGAGCTTAAGTGGAAGTTATTGCCAATCAGCTGGTATAATTGTTGAACTTCACTTTCAGGAATGGTGATCACATTCACACCAACTTCAAGGATATGTACATGCACCTCAGGAATGCCGGGTACTTTGTGGAAGTTCTTGGTTCGCCGTTCACGTGCTTTGATGCCACAAAATACAGTAAGAAGCCATTTTCTTTCTTTTTTTGAGGCTCTAAAATTTGTAACGCTTCGCATCTTATAAATCAGTTGGCGCCTATACAAAGACTGTATATAATGCTCGAATGCAATGACTTTTGGATCACCTAGTAAACATTTAGTAAAAACTGCATGTCGCTGTGAGCGTGTAGAGTGTTTCTGATCTACCTAACGGTAGTCAACGAGGTCTTTTTCATTCTACTTAACTTGGTGTAATTATGGTTCGGGAATATTTCCCGGCGCTGGTTTACAATCAAGGACTGTATCTTTCAATTCCACTAAATGCGTTTATTCTCTCTCAAGGTGGGTTCAATGTTACACCCTCAATGTCTTTTCCGTTCTAAACTACAGCTCTTAATACGTCAGTCTCATACTTTCACAAAAAAAGAAATACTATAATGCTGCGGTTAATTCTTGGCTCGCTAAACGTTATTGTAATGCGTAGCTCGAAATCAAGCCAAAATTGTTTTTTGTTTCCTTAAATCAACACGTCAGCTATATTATCTATGCAATCTGTAAGTAAATGTCACGCAGTGACGTAAAATAAGCAACTATCGTTACGTAGTATAGAATACAATTGACTATTATCTGACAGTAATGTTATATCCTACAAAAAGTTGTATTCGCGTGCTGACTTCGATGCTGTGTCTGTTGTTATGCCAATAAAACAATAAGTGCGCCTGGCTTTAATGCTATTTCAATTTTTGTGCACTGGCAAAATACTCTGAGCTACTGACTGACTGAAGTATCATATTGCCCTATGACACACAATTTCTGTGAGTCAATGAACTTTTAGCCCCTTAGTGTCCTCACGTTCTTTATACGGTCCACTCCTATTATTCTTTCTTTGGATTCTGCGTTTATTCTCGGACAAAAATCGCTGACATCAGTCCCTAAGCTTAACTGATTGTAACGTTTCGTGTTGTTTTCTCTTAGGTACGTTACTTCTTGTAGACAGCGAAGAAGAATACTTTGCCGAAGAGATCACCAAAGTAAGGGAAGACGTTGAAGAGAAAGGCTTATCAGTTATCGTGGTGGGCGACTGGTTCAATGTCCCGGTTATGAGGAAGATCAAGTTTTATGACGAAAATACGAGACAGTGGTGGATGCCTGATACGGGCGGAGCCAATGTTCCAGCGATCAACTCACTTCTCTCTCACTGGAACATAGCTTTCAGTGACCAGGTGTACGAAGGGGAGTTTACAATCGGCGAGAATAAAGGTGAGACTAAAGGTTTAGCAAAGCTTCTTTGTTTCCGTTAATGTGAACCTTTCTAAGGGCCTGTTTACATGGAGGTAGGGGACCACCAGTCTGTGAGGTAACCTGGCAGTCCATATAATCTCTCATTTTAATTTGATCGCGTTTACATGATAGGTGGAGTAACCTTATGAGAGATTATATGGACAGGCGGGCTTTGTTTTTTATCACTAAAAGGAACAGAAAGGGTCGGCTAAATAGTTGTAAGTATTATTTCATCGGCAGAGTAAGCTAAATTTTGAAATTACATCACATTTATGTCGTTATGATTAACTCAGTTTTTGTTGTTTCAGTCTCTGGGCCAATTATTTAACGTTGTGTAGCCCTTTTTTAACAAAACTGCGTTCTAAGCCACTTTCAGTTTGCTCAACGCTTTTATCTAAACACCATTTTTCATGAACAATTTGAATAAAGCTTATTGCGTAGTCTGGAAAAGCACTTACTTTCTTAAATTAGCCTCTTAAGAAGAAGATCTGGAGGGCGAATGATTTCTTAAAAACCGTGGCCTAAATTAGACTTCGTTTAAATAACCGACCCTCTGTGTTTAGTCTTCCTTATTTTTTATTTCATAAAGGTGGTTAGGGTAGCTTTTGTCTAAATTTTTAATTTTTCTTAGTTCAAATTTTGTCAGACTTAAGCTGCCTTAATGATAACAAATGCTTGTCTTTTGTTGTCGTTTTCTGGTTTATTTCTGTCAGCAAAACTACCAGCGTTCGCAGTTCTTTCGTCCGCTATAGCTGAAGATTGAAATTCTTGAATTCAGCTGAGCTACATTACAAATTTTAACAGATTGTGCACGTTTTAAACACTTCGCTTTCTAATTGTTTTCTGTAGTCTTGTACTCGTCCGGAACAAGCTTAGCCTCGTTTCCATCCGAAGGCCTGGTGATAAAACAGAAGCTGAATCATCAGGGAAACGAGGTTGTGACGGGGGAGACTAAGACCGAAGAAGATGTGGCGATCTTGGGTCTTTATCAGGTACCAGGGCCCTCGAGTGGCAGGTTAGCATTGTATGGCGACTCCAACTGCCTGGACAATGCACACATGGAAAAAGGTATTGGAATCCTTCCTCCATAGAAAGGATGTATCATTGCAGTGCATCCCTTGAACATAATTGGTCCCAGGAACGCTGAAGGCAGCAAACTACAGTGGAACCCCGCCTTACGGCCACCTTTTTTCGGCCCGGCGAAAAGGCCATACATTTTCTAGACTGCGAGCAGTCTCTCCTTTTCTTCAGATTTAGTGAGAGAAATGCACGCGCGCGGGAGCGGCGAAGCCGCGAGACGCGCGAAACAAGGGCGGCAGCCCGAGAAGAAAAAAGATATTTTCTTATTAAAAAAAAAATCTCGTTAATATGGTTAACGGCCAGGTTTTTAAAGACTCAAACAGTGGAATATTTTATAATTTTACCCCATTTAATACAGCCACTTATTCGAAATTTAGAAAATCACAATGCGTGTGACGTGTCATTTTGATTGACCAAGTAGGCTAAACCTGTTCTTGCTTTGTTTTTAGGCTAAAATGCATTTCTGACGGTTTAATAGCCGATATTTAAGAGTGTTCTATGTTCTGAAGGAAAGTTTCAAGTAGTTTTTACAGTTACTGTACGCAATATCTACATTCCGGTTGGTTATTAAAGAGAATAGTTGTCACTCAAGGAGTGCGAGTGCGATGTATAGTGTATTCTTCATAACGGCCTCAAGTCATGAAATTTGACCCTGCCCCCGGTAATACGTCCACCCCGTTGATTCGGCCAATTTTTTTTTTCCAACCCATTGTTGACCGCATTAACGGGGTTCCCTGTATACATGTATGTACGAGGCAGTGTTCCCAACGGATTAAAGAGCTGGACTGGCAATTCGAAGGCCCCGAGTCCAAGCCTTGAAATAACCTTTAGTTGGAATTGGAGTTATTGTGTGGCTGCCAATGTCAATTTTAGCGTGGTTTACGTAGTGTGGACCGACACGCGTCCGGTCATCAAGACCTTTTGTAGCAGGTTACATCATAACATCATACAACATGAAACACGGTGGTTGCATTTTTGAATGACAGCCAAAGGTATGTGCTTACTGTTTTTGCTTTTTTTGTTGACAGATTGTTTTTGGCTTTTGGACCTGCTGTTGGACTTCACTTCAAACAAAATATTATCTCCCATACTAAAAGATCTGGACAGCGGCCCTCCCAAACCCTCCGAATCAGTACCAGAAAGAATGGACGGTGAGAGTTATAGAACACGTAGAGTATGAACATAATGCATGGCCATTTTAGCGTCAGTTTATACACGAGCCGTCGTCTCCGTCATGCTGTCTTTTGAAGCATGAGTAGCGATAACGACGACCCTACTGAAAATATTTCCTAATTAAAATTGCCTTTGTTGTGTTTGTTGCTTGGTTTTAAGAAACCATCACTGATTATTCAAAGTCTTTGAACTTATTGAAAATTGTAATTCTTATTAAAAACAATGTTTGAGTCACAAGAAACCACTATTTCCTTTGACGGTTATTCTCCCCACAAAATACAAAATTTGAACAGTATTGTTTCTTACTCATGAAAGTAAGAACTGAATAAGCGTCTTCATCCATATTCTTTGTTGGTGGTTTTCAGGAAGTCACCTTCATAAATACTCAAAAGTACTGGACTCAACTCAACTTGGAGCCATTGAGACAGTGCCTTTACCAGAATGTCCCACGCAGGCGTGGAGCAAACCAGAGCCCCTCAATATAACGGCCCCTGAGAACCTTCACAAGCAAAGATGGCTCCTATCAATTAATCTTGATCAAGTAGGTGCTTGTTTGTCACTCTCTTGTATCTTGGCTTCTGCCTGCAAACATTTGCAGTGAAAACACTGTGTTGAGAGTAACTTTACAGGGCGAGTGTATGGTGAAGTCAAGGTATAATCTCGCTAAAACTCAGTACCGAGAAAATGAAAAAATACGTCCATTGTAACAGGAGTCTCGAGGTCCTTTTCTACACTTATAACAAATATAGAAGTACTCTCCCGCTCAGGCTTTTGGTTGGCTCTTTGCATGATGAGCCGAGAAAGCCAAACGTGTGAACGATTATCTTTCGTTAAGGCACTTACTTTGTTATATGAGAGTTGTACTCTAATTTCTGGGTGAATTTCGGAACTCGGTCAAGTATTCTCCCGTTTGTCCCAGTAACTATAATGATAAGCAATCATTGGATTCGGCTTTCGATCGAGGAGGGTGTTATTGGCATTCTAAATAATCCCAAAAATTAGACTTACCTCGATCGATGTTAAGTTCCCGTCTTCAATTGCATCGTTACACTTGGTAGTTAAAGAACGTAAGAAAAGGTTATGTGGCTCGCGAGGCTGGAATATTGACTACTATTGTTTTTTCTGTTGCCTAGCTACCCGTGATCGTCCCGCGTCACGTGCAGCGAGTAGCACCGTACCCGGATGTAGGTGATTCAGACCCTGAAGAACTCCCTGTTGCAAGTCATATGAGCGTAATGTCCACCCTCCCAATGTACGTTGTACTGTTCACAGCAATGGTTGTTTTGTATTGCGTTGTTCTTTCGTGTCGAGCGCATCGTAAACCACGAGCTAAGAAAGGCAAACCTCCTAAAGCAGCGCGCCTGGCTGTACCGAGGACCAAACTGCCCTACGTGTGATGGGATGAAGAGTTATGGTTAAGTTAGTGCAACTGTGAAGTGAGCATTGCTCTCTGGAGCGGTACCTGTGGGCTCAAATCATGTACCTCCCCGCCTGAGTACACAACCAGACAGAGCAACATTTCGGTACCCCCACAGAGTACATCGAGTTTGGGACTTGGAACGTGGTTCTTGTGTGAGCTCCCCTAGGGAATCATGTCGAGTTCTTGATGTGGAACCAAGTCACTCATGTAGAATTTGAGGACGTTCATTTATCCCCATCTATAATCAGCGCAGGACGCTGGCCACTCATTTCTACCAGACTCTCCACATAGACTACAAGTTATCGATGGTGATGGTCGATCGTTGTTTATCAGATCGTTGCTTATTCTAAGTTATAATCAGAAAACAAGAAATCAGGAGTAGAGTATCAAATTCAAGAAACGATTGTGATGCAAAATTATTTTGGTTCACGCGCCGATATTCGGCACATATTTTTAATATAGATGTAACAAATACAGTGACAGCTTTCTTACAACAAGAATTTTTTTTATCCGGAGTCTGCTTCGACGAGAAGTGATACTCAAAAGAGACAGTTCAATCCCATTTGCTAGGGGCACCCAACGAGAGTATAGTGCAAAACCACTTAAACATAGCATTGTTAAACGTAGTTTAGTATTTAAACAGTAGATATAGGCATATTTTTATCCCGTAAAAAGTTTATTCTGTTCGGCTTTCCTAGTTGAAAGTCTAGTGATCCGAAAATTATAGGGATCAAGACTTACCTTTTTGAAAATTTCAGCCAGAAAAAAGGCCCCCGAAAAATTCTAGGTGACCGTTTTAGGGTAAAAATCCGTTAAAAATGGGCAATTATACCATTTTTTAGATGTTCGAAAATCCTAGGAGAGGCAGGCAAGCAAGAAATTTTACAACAAATGTTCCGAAAATTCTAGAACTCAAATCGTCTTCCGAACAGATATTTTTCGAAAATTGACGTTGGGTGCCCCTGATTTGCTTTTAATGGTAGTTCAACTGTCGGAACGAGACGTAAAAGTTTAGGAACGTTACGAAAATGAGAAATTTGTCCAAATGTATGTCTAGGAAACGTACTTGTAATAAATAATATAAGGTCAAAACCTTTCTCGAAACAATAAAGGTGAGAGTTGTGGATGGTCAGACTGGATATTAAATCTTGCACACATATAACCGGTTTCGGGTAGCAACGTATGATATGATTCAGATGGACTTTTGACTTATGAGATATAACGTGGCAAGCGTTTCAGCGCGAGTTCGTCGAGAAAGTTGGCGAGAGCAAAAAAGAGGAATGATTTTTTGTTTTGTTCTGTTTTGTTTTGTTTCGTTTTTTGCTTTCGCTCCAACTTTCGCGCAATAACTCGATCGGAAACGCAAGTTACGCACACTATTCTCTATTTTCGAATTCCCCATAATACACTCTGTTTACCCCCCAAATTCTGCATAAACCATTGGTTTTAAATGCTCCTGGGAGTATTGCATTTTCTCAAGAGCATTTTAAGACAATAAATTATGCAAAATTTGGGGGGCAAACAGAGTGTATTATTGGGGATTCGAAAATAGTCAATGGAATCAACAACACCTGGAAGAATTGTTAATACTTCAGAAAAAGAATATAGATATACCGCAATCGCCAAAAACCGCGAAGCCGAGAAATGAAAAAGAGGTCTGCGTGCAAATTCTGCACTGGTCACAAGCCGAACGTCCTTGGAAACGCAACTAACAGAAAACTTCGTAGAAATTGTGGCTTCTCCCGGCTGAACGAATACAGCCAAACTGTGGAAGCACCTACTTATGGTAAACGAAAAACGACTGTCCTTTTTTTTTTATCGGATAAATAACTGACGCCTAAGAACCGCATAACTGAATAACAGATCTGTCGACAGCGAAAAAGAAACCGCCGGAGTTACTGAATAATTCTTTCGTTTACTTTTACCTGCTTTGCACCTGACCGTGACCTCGTTGAGCCAATCGGAAGGTGACTTCACCGGTCTGGTTTAATTGCTTGTTATTAGTTTATCTTTTCTTGTGGAAAAAACGTGTAACACTGAAGTTCCCAACAATAGGCGACAGACCAAACTGTTCAAAAAGGAGCCACCCACCCCAACACCAAAACAAGAAAAAGAAAAATCTTATTTTAACAGATTTTACGCAAAAATGAAAAACTACGCAACCAAAGAATGCTTCAATCTGTGGCTTGGCAACCGGCAATCTTTATTGCTTAATACAAAAGCCAACATAAGCGTTATTTAATAACCCAATCATGTCGAAGAGGTAATTCTGTATTTGATTATGGGTGATTTTAAAAACTGAAATAGGCATGACGAACCAAGACAATTTTTCGAATTTCCATGAACATGCGTGGTCTCCAAATTGGTAACATGTTTGTCTTTAATTGGTTATTAAATGTCTTTCTGAAGTATAGCCCAATAAGCTAATTTAACGCTTTATTTTCAACTTATTTTGTCGGTTATCTTTTAAGGGATTTGCATTTGTTTATCTTCTGTCACTGGTACGCGTTGCAGGTGCAGTGCGAGTAACATGAGTACATAGAAACGGATAAACACGAGCAAAACATTCCCTATGCCAGTGCATTAAATTCGTTCATAGGACGTTGAACGTAGCTTTCAGCTTTCCAGTTTCGGTATCTGGGTATTAACATCGCTTGCGGGTTTCCTTGAGACATGTTTTCGGATTCATCAACCGCGGCTGCAACTTTCGCTGCACTTTTAATGGTTTTCGTCTCACGGGGTAAGTAATACAGTCGACTCTCTCTTAACGGACACCTCTGTAAAACGGACACTTCTAGTTGGTCCCTGCCTTTCTTTACTCCCTTTATTTGACTCTATAAGACGGACATCTCTCTAAGACGGACACTTAGTGCCGGTCCCAAAGGTGTCCGCTAGAGAGAGTTGACTGTATTTTATTTTTTAGTAATAGATAAGTAATCGTAGATACGATTCTCAGGGGTTCGGGGCGAAATCGCTATGAAACGTTTCATGCAGGAAGTTAATTACTCAGCACTTCAGAAATGGTCAGCCACTGAAACACTATTTTAACACCTTGTTTTGTTTGTTGTACTAGTGGGTCAACACACTTTGCGTTGAAACATATTCAGAAAGGAAAACATTTTAGATGGGAAAGAGTGTCTAGAGTATATTGTTATGTAACCGACGATAACTTTTGGCTGTTCCTTTCAAACTTCCTGAAAATATTGCAATCCTAGTTATAGTTTCATATGGATATCCTTACTGCTAGCTTATATTTACAGCAAACACGGAGAACGTTTTTGCTTCCCAGCGGACATATCGACCTAAGTTTTTTGTGCTAGGTGACTTTTTTTACTTCCAGTGGCTGTCAGCATTTTGCATGCAACTTGAATTTCGCCCAGAACTTGGTGGAATTCAACAGGAACCTGACTTGGAAGCGTTGTCGAATCAGTAAAAACAAATGTAGTTTACAGTTTACTTAATCTTACAAGGAGTGCCCGTGCAGGGGGTTGGGGGTTGGGGGAGGGCAGTAAAATTGACAGCCAATAACAGACCACTGTCAGTACGATAAGTTCTAGGTCTACAGGGTATTTTAAAAGTTCGTTCCGATTGTAAATGTATTTTGCACAAAGCATTTAATGCTTCCTGAGGCAAATGTATTCAGGAAGGAAATTTATCTAAATAATTTCAAAATAAAATTTGAAGAAATTATGATATTTTTAAAATTTTTTCCCCAAATGTGCACGTACGCGAATTTTTTCCCGCCATATTTTTCCTGCTTATTTTGTAGGTTTTCTATTTTCGTTTTTTTGGCGTTTTCTTTTGTTTTCTCTACTCTTTCACGAAAATGAAGGCGTACACTGTTTGTGCTAGAGCTCAGGCATCTATTTTTACGGTACTCTGTCCATTTAGTCAAAGAAATTGTCAAATTGTTGAAGAAGTCTGAACGATGAGAGAACAAGTGGTCAAAAGTAAAGACCTTACAAGACAAACCCAGGAGTAGATGGCCGGTTGTGTGAAAAATGTTATCGAAAAAGCTGTAAGTATATGCGTAATAATTCAACAAGACTGCAAAGTAAAAAGAAACCTTCAACTTCACAATATCAAAGTTTCGAGCACAACGGTATGGAGATACGTGACCAACAAAGGTTGAAAAGCCTTGAAGAGAAAAAAGGCGGTGCACACTTCATGCAGGCATGGCATCAGAAGAATTTGCAAACTTTATACCAAAGGAAGACCGGTCGGCAAACTCACCCTCTAGTAACCATCTGGATAATCGTTGATCCGACAACATACAAAGATCCAGCCCCCAAAACACTGCAGTAGCTAAGACAGCGACCACGCTTCACCAGGAAAATTGTGAGTTTAAACACGCTATGGGAGCTCGTACATTCTATACCTCACCACTTAGAAAATGTCAGAAATCATAAAGGAAGACATTCTGATTGCTAATATTTCAGTTATTCAATGTTAAATGAATAATGAATAACATGCTTAGGTTTACAAAAGTTATCTTTAATAATCAGTGAAATTTAAGTGAAGAAAAAATCGGAACGAACTTTTGAAACACCCTGTAGGCGTAAAGAAATTGTCCTCTGGAAACGCAGTACTGAACTAAGAAGATTCATATTTGTTCAGTGTTATTACAATTAAGTAATCACAGGTTCCTAAATTGCTTAAGAAAGTAGTTTTTAAAAAGCGGCAGCTAGGATTTCCGTTAGGAGATTTGTCAATCATTTTACAGCGAATGACGCTATGGCTATATGGCCGGTAACCGGTCAAGGTTTTCAAAACACTAAATGACCCACAGTCCGGTATTTTCAATAAATTTGACTTATCTAAGAATCTCAACCAATTCAAACTATCATATGTCGATTAAGAAAAGTCAAAAGATCCTGAAATGCTTTATAGATCTCAAGTCTAGCGTTTGGTTTACGTTGGGCTCAGAAAACGAAACCATGTTTTGTGACACTTAGAACTTTTTTCAGCTGGATCCTCTCTTTCCCCTTTCCGCTTTCCTCTTTCCAGTTTCTCGATTTATCTAGGAAAGATCAGGGGCACCAAACGGGAAATTTTGAGAAAAAGACCTAGAAACAACAGCAAAGCGTGAATAAAGTTTTCTGAGACTATTTTAAGCATTTTGGGAGATTGCTGGAAAAAATTATCTGTTCCTCACTCCCAGCAAGACTGATGGAAGAGTTCCCAGCCAGCAAACTTACAACCTGCAACCTGACTTACTGGGAAGTTTCATAGGGCACAATTCAGATCTTGAGTGGTAAGTAACCCATACAAGCAACCCGTAGCAGCTATTCTAGACTTCAAATCCCCTCTGACACCCTGAATTATCTTTTTCCCAGCAACACTTTCCTTCCAGGGACTATTATTTCTTCCACATCTCCCAGCCAGCAAAAATGTGCCTGAAGAACAGATATTTTGAGGAACAGATCCATTGGGTGCCCCTGAAAGATCGAAGCGACTCTGCTAGCAGAGTAGACTGCTGGTCATTTAGTGTTAAAAAGCCAATGTTGAAAAAATTTTAAAAACATCAAAAGACTAAAAATAACGGTGATTAATCGAAAAATACAAAATGGACAAATATCTAGTAATCACTAATTAGTCAAAGTAAAACAAAATTAAAACTTCCTGCTCCCACTCGCCATTTCCATTACTTATTTTCTTTTTAACTAGAATCTTTTTTCAGAAGCTGGGTGCAAATATCGTCACGGCTATCTATGATCGTTCCTTTTGAACTTCTCTCAGGAGAAGCAACATCGATGTGCTCGGCGTATCACAGCGTTTTCACTCGCGTTTTCAATGCCCTCAAAGACGGAGCGAAGCTTCTTTTTTCGCGGGAAAAACTGCTTTAAACTTTATTAGTTTATTTAGTTATCCGAAAAATGTAACGATTAAAAAACCAAACTTCTTCCTTTATACTTTGACAGGTGTGTCCGGACAGAGTACCTCACTGACCCCCACACTATCAGTGACTCCGTCCTCTATGTCGACCCTGCCCATATCATCACAGGATATATCTACCACAACAACCTCTGCTACAGCAGCCTCCACAGAGGTTATCAGCTCGACACCATCTGGCCCCTCGACGAGTGCGTCTGTAACCGCCACGAATCCGACCAGTGAGGCTACGACTGAAGCGCCAACTACGACTGAGGCGCCCTCCTCCTCAAAGAGTAAGCCACCTCATTAAAGACAACAGCGAAAACGTTGGAACATAGACCTATTCGGCTAACCCAATGTTGAACCCAATTCAAATCTCCCGGGGATAAGATTCTTTGTGTCTTGTATTTGCATTATAATGTGGCATTCACATTTAAATGATATGGAAATTACTGAAACAAAACGTTTTATTCCCAAAGGGTTCGAATTGGGTACAACATTGAGTTAGCCGAATAGGTCTATTATACTCTGGGTATTGTTAATCTTGACATGGTAATAAGGTATGGGGGATCGCTCTGGCCAGGGACAAGCCCAAGACTAGGCGAAACTAGAAAAGGGCAAAATTAACACCGACTTACTCGTCGGGTGTTAGCTAGGTTAGTCGTAAAGCTCTTTTCTTCGAGGGATCAAATGGAGTGAGTGTAAACTCTTTTATTTTGTGTTCACATTTCAGAATCCCTATATAACTGGTAACAGGTCAAGGTTTTCAAAACACTAAATGACCACAGTCCGGTATTTTCAATAAATTTGACTTATCTAAGAATCTCAACCAATTCAAACTATCATATGTCGATTAAGAAAAGTCAAAAGATCCTGAAATGCTTTGTAGATCTCAAGTCTAGCGTTTGGTTTACGTTGGGCTCAGAAAACGAAACCATGTTTTGTGACACTTAGAACTTTTTTCAGCTTCCTCTCTTTCCCCTTTCCGCTTTCCTCTTTCCTCTTTCTCGACTTATCTAGGAAAGATCGAAGCGACTCTACTAGCAGAGTAGACTGCCGGTCATTTAGTGTTAAAAAGCCAATGTACCTCAGTGAGCCCTATACTATCAGTGTCTCCATACTATGTCGACCCTGCCCACATCATCACAGGATATATCTACCACAACATCTTGTTAGAGGGATCAAAGGGAGCGCGTGTAAACTCTTTTGTGTTGACATTTGCATATTCCCTAGAGTGGCGAAATGTGATCCAATCGCAGCCTGTGTGCGGCCGTCCCCTCCCCTCAGTAACAAACATGCAATCCAGTCACTGATCACGATAGCCTATCATGCCGATATGAATATTATTCCAGCCGGGAATGAACAGTGCCTCAACCATACAAAATTTTGCGACTTTGCGATGCTTTATGAATTATCTTCGTTGATGGATACATGTATATCGTTTATAGTAGAAAGTGCACTTAGCTTATCCAGCTAGTTTACAGGCACTCCACTTAAATAATTCTGAAACACTGATAATGCAAATAAAACATAACAGGATTAAAAACCCCAACAAGCGGTAAGCAACCAGTTGGCTATTTACAAGCGTGGCTGAGGACTTGAACTAGAGACGACTTAGAACAAATCCAGCAAGTGGCCAGAGCGGGACTCGAAACCCGGGACTGCTGAATTGGGAGTCCGACGCTCTGACCATTCGGCTACACTACCTCCCATTTAGTTTTCAACAAATCACTCTCAAACTTGGTAAATTTACTGATTTAGGGCGTTCTTTCCAGCCGTGTTGTCGGATTGACCATAACTGAAAACCAAATAAATTGAAAACCAAAACTGAAACCGTAGAAGGGTCACTGTATTCATGTCCTCATTATTATTATTATTTTTTTTTTTCAACTGCATTCTATTAATTTTCCTTTTCTGAATTTTTCTTTGACATTTGCGCATTATATGTTCCTAGCATGTGGCTGGGTGATCGTGGTCTGGAAGAAAAGCTGGAAAAGCATGTACAAAGATAATCAACAGTTCATTAGCAACACCACGGAAAAACTGCAAATGTCATTAGTGAGTAATCTTATATAATAAATCTCTGTTTGTTTCCTTTGTTCCTTTTTGTTGGTATGTTTCAGGTGAATATAGCCTGCGTAGCAAGCGTTTCTGTGCGGTTTAGGAGCAAAGGACGAGGAACAAGAGTCAAAGACCGCGGGAAAAATAGGAAATAGGGTAAGGGCTCTCGTTTCATCTCTCGCGCTGTCAAAACCGAAAATCTCGTTCCTCGGTCTTTTTTTGCTCCGAAACTAAACGGAAACGCTTGCTACGCAGGCTAAGGTGAATACTTCAGTTGTATCCGATGTAGGAAATTTATAGAGCTAGTCCTTCTTGATTTTCATTTTAGTTCCATATTCCCATACTATACTGATACTTTCTCTTTAATAGTTGTTGCAAAACCTATCAAATATTAGAGGAAAACGGCTGATAGAGTCTAGTGCGTATCTTAATTTTAAAAGCTAACGAAGGTCGAAGCAACTCATCCCTGTTTGATTAGCTACAGGGCCTCTTTTCAGGGAAGTGGGGAACCCCAGGTATAGGTGAGGTAACTCGTTTAGGTTTGGATAAAGCGCCTGACCATTTTTATTATAATCTCATTATAATTTGATCTGAAACAAGACCAGTCTTTGACCTCCCACAAGGCTACCACTATCCGGTGACAATGCCCTGACAATCCTTCCGTTTTTAGTAAGAACAATTTTTGATAACGGGAAACGATTCATCTACCACTGGATTGACTTATTGTTTGAAACTATTGCACTAACACTTCTCATCGTGTTATTGACCGAGGCGTTATTCCATCATCATTTTTCAAAGCTGGGACCATTGTTTGATCTATCAACGTTTTCTGTTATCAAATGAGGTTTTCCTAAAGCTCCAGGGAGAACCATCGAATATCGGTCATACAAACATTATTCAAAGCAGGAATTTGTGAATGACTTGAAACAAATTGACTGGAACCAAGCTCTAAACAAGCAGGACGTTGACTCCGCGGTCATTGATTGAAACAATCTTTTTACTCATGTTACCGATAGTCATGCTCCAATGAGGAAATCAAGAATTAAAGGGGTCCGTTCTCCCTGGATAAACGTACAGCTATCTGAAGCTATGCACCAACGTACGAGATTATTACCATCGTAAAGCCCTGAAAACAAAGTCTTCCAATCATTGGTCACGCTATAAGGAACTTACGAACTACGTACTAAGGAGACAAAGAGATGTAAATCGGAATACTATTCTGAGCTTATTACCGAAAACAAATCTAATCCAAGTGCATTATGGAAAACTCTAAACGACATAACATCTCGCAAAGAAAGAATTCCCATCTCCTGCATTGAGGCCGGCGGTGTTCAATACTGCAGCAATAAAGCTATCGCCAAGATTCTCAATGAACACTTTTCAACAATTGGAACTAAACTGGCGCAAAAGCTCAAGTCTTGTAGATCCCACATCTACGCGGCGCCTACGGTTAACTCGAATCTACCCCATGAATTTGCTTTCGAACCAATGACGGAAGACTTCGTTCTTCGTCAGCTTAAGCAGCTCAAAACCAATAAAGCCATAGGCCTAGATAATATCAGTGCTCGTCTACTGAAAGATTCAGCCTCAGTAATCAGTGCCAGTCTTACTAGATTGTTTAATTTTTCCCTGGAACCTCGCACTTTTCCTTCTATTTGGAAATTTGGAAAAGTGGCAGCGTTATTCAAGAAAGGTGATCGCTGTGACGCTAACAATTACAGACCCATTACTGTGCTGCGAACGATCAGTAAAATTCTAGAAAAAGCCGTGCACACCCAACTTTACGCTTATCTTAAGAACAGTGGTATCCTTACATCTAAGCAATTTGGGTTCAGACCGAAGTTATCAACTGAAACAGCCTTGGCTCATTTCACAGACAATATCCTCCAGAATATTGACGCTGGCTCCTTTACAGGTGCTGTTTTTCTGAACCTGTCTAAGGCTTTCGATACAGCGGGTCATCAACTGCTGCTGCAAAAGTTGACGAACATCGGTCTTACCACCTCTACCACCCAGTGGTTTTGATCGCACCTCACAATGCAAACAGGTCGCAAATTACATCGGTTGGAGATGCTCACTCTGCATCTACCGAAATGCCTCTTGGAGTATGGGTTTACTTTCCTAACCGGGGTGGGATTCGTGTTAGTACATTAAACTCGAGCCAAGTTTTTGGTTTTTGTTCACGTGCTTTGCGATGCTTTGTGACCTTTCACTAATCCACCGTACATCCGGGATGGCGAGATCGTAAGATTACATTGTTAAGTGAAATCTAATAAAACAAAATAATAATAATAATAATAATAATAATAAAAAAACAGCAGTTTAATTAAAAACTCCTGTTGTATTTTTACCCCACCCGAGCAGGTTATTCGCATGTGCGTGTACTGACAGAACGTGTCTTTTTACGCTCCCAGTAATAGACACGTCTTCATACTACCTGCCTCGATTAGCTCCGCTTTTTTGCAGGTAGTCTGTATTTGTAATAGCCTGAATTTCATCCGATTGCTTCGAGTCGTTTTCTCCTCTCAGCAACGACGTTACTGAGGGAGTAATAACGATTCGAAGTAATCGGATGAAATTCAGGCTATATTTGAAATTTATTTATTGTGAATATAAACAAATAAAGCTTGATTGTTTCAATCTTAAGTGTTTTTTTTACCTCACCTACCTAGCATGGGTTTCCCCGCCTCCATATAAACTGGCCTAAAGCTAAGACAAAAGTAAGTATGTTTATAGGCGGAACGTTTGAGTCAGCTCGAAAAAAAAAGTTTGATTATTTATTTTTTTCAGGAGCATGGCTTCTTTAATGATTCCAGCAAATATGGCCATGTAAAGGTATCAGACCTACAGGTTGATGACAAAGACGGAGACGTTAATGTGACGTTTAAGCTGTGTTTAGTTCTAAAAAACAATGCGCATGCTGGCTACATTGAAGATGTGATTAAAATGTGGAAAACGTTTGGGAACGAGAGCATCACAGGTCACGAATTTCTGGCTGGTGAGTGCATTTGTTGTTGCAATGACTAACAGACCTTTTTACCGATACGGAGGCCATATTGAATTAATTTGATTAATTAAGGAGTATTATAGGATGCCCAGGGGGCATGAGCACATTTTGTTTCTATTTTCAAGCGCTTTTCAGGACATTTTTTCTTAAAGTTTTCTTAGAATAAGATTGTAATGGGAAAAAAGATCCTTGTGCCGTGTTTGGATGTGACAATGATCGCCTTTTTCTAGTTTAGTATTAGAAATATGGTCTTTCACTGTAAATTTCTCGGGAAAAAGGCGATCATTATTACATCCAAACACGGCACAAGGATCTTTTTTCCCATTACAATCTTATTCCAAGAAAACTTTAAGAAAAAATGTCCCGAAAAGCGCTCGAAAATACAAACGAAACGTGCTCATGCCCCCTAGGCATCCTATAATACTCCTTAAATCGAATTAATTCAATGCGGCCGCCGTATCGGTAAAAAGGTCTAGTTACGTTCACTATACCGAACACGAAAAGCTATCCGGAATAGTATGGACAGCAACCACCAGCAGGGACTGGAACGAGTCGTTCACACTTATCGAACATCGTCCTAAAGCGGTTGGTCGAGAGGGCTTGGTGCACTATCTCAATCGTCACTTTTCCTCACCAAGAGGGTTCCAGTCCTCGCTCCTACCCATTTACTTCTGCAACGGTCCGAATAGCTGTTTACATTGCGACAAGGAGTGGAAGAAACCTGTCTGATATGTGACGATCCACTTTCAATATCAGTAAGCACTCTCGTTCCCAGAACCTCCTGGGGGCCTGAGCACGAGGACGAGGAGGCTCTGGGGACACAGGATTTAAAGTCCTAGATTTTTGGACTTCCGGTCTTTTCCGAATCAAAAGTAAGTTGGGGGATTGTCTTTTAAAAGCTTTGAATCACTTATATTTACAGTCATTGACACTTGGGGAAGAGTAAATGAGAAATCATCTTCCTTACGTGTGGACAAAAGCCGTATCCGTTAAGGTTTTCGTGCTGTTGCAAGAGCTATCGATATCCTGTGTAGTGTGAGCATAGCATCGATCAGGCACCGGTTACAACTGGTTAAAGCTAATACAGGAATTCTATGATCCGTGTACACTTATTCATCCTTATCACCACCCCTTCAACTTCTATCCCTGTCTCAAAACGCTTTCAACGGCATATATAACGTTTCTTATTCTGCAGAGGTAACGTTTAAGGACTGGAAAGCTAAGGACGGCGAGTGCAGCAAATGTTCAAGTGGAGGGGCTGGACCAATCACTCTTGAGAGAGAATGTAAACCCAAAAAAGCTGAATACAGTTGCGATGGTGTGAAGACCTCGGTGGAATCCCAGGACTGTTTAAAATACTGCGATTCGAAGGCTGGTAAGTAAAAGGCGCGGGCATACGTTACGTAACGGGATGTATGATCTGACCGAGAACTAACTACTATATAGTTTACAGGCCCTATAGAGTGTTTTCACTCACGTGGCCAGCATCTATGCAAATTTATTACAACAAAAGAAAACGTTTGCATAACGAAAGAGTTCAACTCTCACAGGGCCCGTTTGGGAAACCAACATGGCCTCCGTTTCATTGTTTTGGGACACCAATATGGCCGCCATGAAGTCATGTGACAACACTCTATATTCTCTTTTTGAGACCCAGTTTTGAACGGACAAATTCTTTACCTCTGCAACCCGTTTATACGGAATTGTCCAAATTCTGTTACAGATTGCATTACTGTTTAAAGCTCAAAAACTTGCACGGTTCCGGGAGTTTCGTATAAATGAAAGACTGATCCGTGAAACTTTTTGCCCGTTCAAAATTTGTCCGAACCCTCGTAAAAGGGGTCTAGGAAATTGGGTTTGGTGCCGCTCCTTCATTCTTATTTACTGCGGTTAAGCCTCACAATGAGATCAGACTGGCTGGCAAAGGCCACACACACTTATATACGCAAGTTGCAAATGGAGTCTAATTAACGCTTCCATTAGACCTTTTCGTTCGGGCTTGGTTCAAACAAAAGAAAACAATTATCAACAAACTACTTCGTATATGCTGCTGATTGTTCCAGGCAAATCAGTTCTGTACTAAATGAAGTTAAGGAGTAACAACTTAACATTGATTTAACGTATGGGACGAATGCACCTGATACGTACATACTGGCTTGGCAACAATATGTCAGCTCAATTTGGATGGGACCGGCCTGTTTTTCTTTCATTCTAATGATAACTTTTCCTTTTACCTTCAGCCACCCGGAAGTTTACGTCCGTTTTCTTATTGCTGGCGGTACTCATATCTTTCAGGTATGCTTCAGTTGATTCCGCTATTATCCTTCTTCCCTGTCATAGGTCAACTAATATCAATTATTATAAACTGTACTCACTTCTCTTTTCTCATTGGCTAAGAGCCTACAGTTAATTTATTTTGGAAATCAGTGCAACCTACAGATTAGTTAGTTATCTGCTAGCAAATTTTTTGGAAAAATCTACGTGAAAACGGATGCAACAAGTCCCATGCCAACATTGTTGCGCTAAAAGTGTGACTAATTTCAAACTTTACGCAACAACTCCCAACAAAATGACACAACATGCAACAGGGTGTGAAACACAACATGTAACATCCAACAATGTTGCGTCGGTTTGCACGGGCAACCCTTAATTTCTAAGAGCTGAATGTCAAACTATGTTCCGTGCGATGCTGTCTTTGTCCTTATTATTTTCTTCGAACCAATGTCAGCCTAGGCCTTCCGCTTGGCTGATAACACCTGCCTTGACCTTAATTATGCCGGATACTACCAAAACGTCATCCAATAATTGTTTAAAATGGGTAAAAAACTGAGGCTATTTTCTTTCTCTTTCAGTCCCAGCTTTACTATCTGGGAGTGAGTCATTCCCCTGACGGACGGGCATCAAGCAAGTCATCCAATTTTGAGTGAAAAAAGTATCTTTTTAGGCCTTTTGTTAAGGTTACACTATCCTTTATGCAATTTTCGTTTTTTTGTATCACACCATTTTGTAAAGAATAGCGAATAGATCTTTATTTGTAGTCAAGCTGAAATTCCACTTACACAATTCTTTGTACATTAACATAGTTTCCCTCGCTCCAAAAAAGAATTATGTCAACTTAACTTGTAAAAATGGTATTTTTAAGTCTGGATTGCGGCGTGGCATAATGGTTGGCAAGTTTATAAACGACCCACATTTTACTTTACAGACCTCTTTTCAGAAATGTAATAGATCTATATTAGGGGAAGTGTAAGCTTCGTCATTTTTTATGGCTTTTGTTCCGGCTAAGATTGCCCAGTTTTGAAAAAGCTGTAATTTCAGCTTTCGACGTTTGGATATCTTAAGGACTTGAGACTGAAGCAGTTCTCCTATTTTACTTGGAAAAAATATTTTTCAGGAAAATGCCACTAACATGCTCGAATAGTGCTTAATGCTTTTGCCTTTCTAAAATACTCGATAAAATGCCAGCGAAATATGTGCAAAAGCCTGATCTCTCTGCATTTGGCGATATTGTTTGTTTGTTTGTTTTTTTTTTATCGTGGTAGACGTTTTGCAGCAATGCAACTCAATGTAAAGTTTCGAAGGAAAGAAGAAATGCTTCCCCAAAATGATTGATAGCCTGCAAGTGATTAATAAGCAATCTCGCCGGCCATCTTATACAGTGGAGCCTTGATATAACGAAGGCCCTGGGGACTGGTAAAATTTGTTCGCCATAACGAGGCCTATTCGTTATGTCGAGGTTATTTTTCCTTATATTTTACCATTATTGGGGTACAGAAAATTGTTCATTATACCAAGGACTTCGTTATATGGAGGTTTCACAGCATATCAGCGATCAGTTTATGTCAGAAAATCTGTAACGAATAAATGTTGTTTGATTATTGAGTGTGAAAATTGTGTTTTGATTTGTTTAGCAATGAATTATCTGTTGTTCGTGTTGTGGAAGAGAGCCGCAGGAAGACCGCTAAAACTGTAATTTTCATAGTTAACTTTAGTTGACAACAAAAAAAATTATGTGTAAGGTTGACTGTCTGGTTGTGAAAAGTGAATGTTCTCCAAAGTTTGGACACCCATTTCCAGACTGAAGTGAATCCATTTATCCGATCAGCTTAGCAACTGTCATTTTGTTTTCAGTGTTTTGTTCTAAAGAAAACAATATATGCAAACATTAATAGTGCAAAATATCCCTTCATCTTAGATTACTTAGCTAGCTAGCCTATAAATTGTCATCTCTTTGATTTAATAAAATGTTTTGGAGTTTCGGTAATTGAATTGAAAGGATGGTATGGCTTACTGACACTGATGTAAGTGCAAAGTTATCATAAATCTATTACTGAAAAGTGATAATCGTTTTTCTTAGAGTTAGACTTTTAAAGTACGCTTATCAACATGTATCAAGATTCAAACGAAATGTAAGACAAGGAACGATTTTAATTTGGACGATAGATCATTAACGGATAGTTTACACTGAAGACAATAAAAGTTGTTATTCAGAGCAATAAGTGTGCATATGCCGTTGATGCTGAGTACATAGAAACACATTAATGAAATTAAACTAATGCATTGACGGCCACTAGAAAAGGAAATTAAGGTCATGAGAAGCCTCACCGTTATTCTTGTTGAACCTGTTCAAACTCTGAAGTATCGTTAATTTTTCATTGGAGTTCAAGGACTTATCCCCACCACTTGATTTGAAGTCACAATCTCGTAAAAGAGAAAGAAAAAGGAAAACATTTTCAGAACATGACTGAGGGATCTATGTTCATGACATTTGTCAGTCTGTTACTCGGTACGGTTTGAGGATACGAAAAAATTTTTATTGCTGCCGATAGTCTTCATCAAATAGCAATTGTCATCAGTTTGGTTGTATTTTTGCGGTTCTTGGTATGTTTTTAGGCAGAGGTTCGACTTTCTCTTCTTCGCAAAATGAGCAACGTCTCTAAAAGCGCAACCTCGTCCCTAGGACTTCTCAGTTTCTGCCGTTGACGTCACGGCGGCCATATTTGATGTCCCAAAACAATGAAACGGCAGCCGCGATGTTGGTGTTCTAAAGTTTTTTTTTTTTCTTATGTGAACGCTTTCTTTTGTTCCAAGAAATTTGAATAGATGCTAGTTAAGTGAGTGAAAACGCTCTCTTGGTGTCATTTTATAGCATATTCGCAAATGTGATTCAAGTTATTTTGGTCCACGCTAGCGGGTTGCAGTGAAAAATCATAGGCTACTGGAAGAATTTAAAGCCGCGGGATTTAAGCCAATCAAAAACGGAGAAATATTTTGAATGAATAATAATCTTATTTATTACAGCCAAGCCACTGGTCAAGGGCACCCCAAGACAGCAATAATGAATTTAGTTTTTGAAAGTTTTTTTTTAGGATCGATAGTTTTGTAGTTTGAATTTTAGTGACGTCATGTGAAAACCAACAATTCCTTCATGTGTAATGAGCTGCAAATTCACAAGCGAGGTACTTTAATTGAAATATCTGCCAGTTAATAAGCTTCCTTGAATTTGATATACACAGCAATTCTATCCAATCAGAGATTTTTCACTCTGACCGAATACTGAGAAGTTGTTGGCAAAAATTCACTGCTCATTATGCATTTGGGAATTTAGATTTGAATTTGAAATTGAATTCGGTTGTGGGGTACGCTTGTCCTGGGAATTAAATAGCTCCGCCTCTACAACAATTTTCATAATCGTAAGCTTAAATCCCGGAACGCGCGTATTTACGGAAATGAAATTTGAAATTGTCACGGGTTTGGGAGTTGTATCAAAACAGAACTTTATAAAAGTATTGATTCATCTAGTATATCAAGCATGAGACGCCGTGTTTGCTCGGATCACCAGATGAAACCCTGAGAAGAAAGTTGAAAATGCGACGCGCAGCGGAGTAGTTTTGACGAACTTCGAGGTGTTTCATCTGGTGATGAAACTCTATGTCAGGGCACCCAACGAGAATATAGTTTAAAACCACTTAAACATAGCATTGTTGAACGTATTTTAGTATTTAAACGGTAGATACAGGCATATTTTTATCCCCTAAAAATTTTTCATCTGTTCGGATTTCCTTGCTGAAAGTCTAGTGATCTGAAAATTATAGGGATCAGACTTACCTTTTCTAAAATTTCAGCCAGAAAACTGGGCTTCCGACAATTCGAGGTGACCTTTTTAGGGTAAAAATTCGTTAAAATTGGCCAATTATACCATTTTTTAGATGTTCAAAATTCCTAGGAGAAGCAAGCAAGCAAGAAATTTTGAATGTTCCGAAAATTCTAGATCTCAAATCGTCTTCCAAATAGATATTTTTCGAAAATTGGCGTTGGATGCCCCTGGCTGTGTCGAATGCTGGATCAAACAATGATTTTACCAGAAAAGAGCAGTTTTTCATCTGATTTCCAAACACTCATTAAACATTAATTTCCTTTGTATTTCCTTTATGAATTATTGATGAGTTTGAGAAGTATGAAGTCGGTGTGAATGAACCGTCCGTTTTTTTTGTGCGAAACGGAATACCAAGTAATGGCGAAATTAACATGCCACGGAGGTTCTTGCATGTTGTCTGGGTTCAAACCTGTTTGTCTTTATTCTTACCACTTGTTTATCTTATTAGCAGTGAAAACAATTCTATATTCAATTCGAAAAAACCGTTCTCGGATAAACTACTATATTTTAATCGCATTGCAAAATATAAATATTAAATATTAGTAAATATTACTATACAGAACAACCCCGTTTGAAGACGACTGTTCAAAGAGAAGTCTAAAAGGAGCCCCCCGCCCAAAAAGAAGGAAAAAGAAAAATCTTAACTTAACAGTTTTTTCGCTAAAATTAAAAACTGCGCAGCCACTGCTTCAAAGCGTTAAATTACCTGTGGCTTGGCAACCGGACGTCTTTATTTACTAAGCATAAGCGTACATAAGCCAACATAAGCATTACTTAATAACCCAGTCAAAAAGGTGATTTTGTATTTGATTATGGATGATTTTAAACTGAAATAGGGATGACGAACCAAGATAATTTTTAGAATTGCCATTAACATGCGTGGTCTCCAAATTGGTAACATTTTTGTCTTTAATTGGTGTCATTTTTGTCTTCAATTGGTTATTAAATGTCTTTCTGAAGTAAAGCCCACAAAGCTAGGTTAAGGCTTAATTTTCAACTTATTTTGTCGGTTATCTTTGTAAGGATTTACATTTGTTTATCGTGTGTCACTGGTACGCATTGGAGGTGCTTTGCAAGTGACATTAGTACATAGAAACCGATAAACACGAGCAAAACATTCCCAATGCAAGTTTATTAAATTCGTTCATAGAACGTCAACGTTGCTTTCAGCTTTCCAGTTTCGAGATCTAGGCATTAACATCGCTTGAAGTTTTCCTTGAGACATGTTTTCGGATACATCAACCTCGGCTGCCTCTTTCGCGGCACTTTTAATGCTTTTCGTCTCACTGGGTAAGTAATATTTTATTTTTTAGTAATAGATAAATAATCGTGGATACGATTCTGAGGGGTTCGAAGCAAAATCGTCTTCAATTGAAACTTTCTAGGCACGAAGTTAACAACTCAGCACTTCAGAAATGGTCAGCCACTGAAACACTATTTTAACGGCTTGTTTTGTTTCTTGTACGATTGGGGCAACATACTTAGAGTTAAAACATAATTTATTCAGAAAGAAAAACATTTTAGGTTGCAAAGAGTGTCTTGAGTATGTTGTTATGTAACCGCGATAGTTCGTGATAACTTCTGACTGTTCCTTTAAAACTTCCTGAAAATCATTGAAATCCTAGTTATAGTTTCATATGGATATCCTTACCGCTAGCTCATGTTGACGGCACTGAAACACCGTGAACGTTTTTTCTGTCAACGAACATAGTGCCCTTTTATGTGCCAAGTGACTTTTCTTACTTCCAGTGGCTGTCAATATTTCTGCATGCAACTTGTATTCCGTCCAGAACTTGGTGGAATTCAACAGGAACCTCACTTAAAGCGTTGTTGTATCGGTAAAAACAAATGTAGTTAACAGTTTACTGAAGCTAAGAAGGAGTGCGCGGGCAAGGGGGGGGGGTGGGAGGGAGCAGTAGAACTGAGAGCCAATAGCAGACTGTCGGTACGATAAGTCCTAGGTCTAGGCGTAAAGAAATTGTCCTCTGGAAACGCAATACTGAAGTAAGAAGATTCATATTTGTTCTGTGTTATTACAAGTAATTACAGGCTCCTAAATTGCTTAAGAAAGTAGTTTAAATTGGCAGCTAGGATTTCCGTTAGGAGATTTGTCAATCATTTTAAAGGTCCAAATCTTCTCAATTTTTTCACGACCGAACCTCTCATTCTTGCAAGTCGAAAGACCTTGATATTCTTTTTCAACTAGTAAAAGGTGCTTCCTGGCAACCAAGGAAAATGCAATTTAAATCATGTCATACTAAGTGATCACATATTAATCAGTTATGGCGTTTGCCCGTTTTCGCTTTCCGCATTTTGTGTATTTTTCGAGGCTTAAAAATGCGTGTACCTTAGTGCCAACCGTTTTTCGATGGCATGGGAAAATGGCATTCAAATGCCATTTACATTTTTCGTTTTCGCATGACATTGAAAAACAGATTTCAATTTTGCTTTTTTATTTTCGTTTTCGCTTAACTTTGAAAAACGGATTTGAATTTCAGTTTTCGTTTTTCGTTTTCGCATCACTTTGAAAAACGGATTTGAATTTCGTTTTACGTTTTTGCATTGCTTGTTATTGAAAAACAGATTGGAGTTTCGTTTGTCGTTTTTGCATGAATTTGAAAAGTGGATACGTACACCAGTCATTTGAAACTCCCCCCACCCCCTCCCCAAGGGGATGACCGGGATAATGAGGGGCCTTTCACTTCATAATCACTCCATTTTTATTCCCCGGTAGGCGGGGGATACGCTAGGAATCCCGGTCTTTGCCTCCCTGACCGGGGAATATGCAGGGCAGTCAATCTGTGGTAAGCGTTTCCATTTTCGCGCCGCGTAGTAATTTTGCATACATTTTTATCGCTTCTCGCAGCTGAAGAAACTATGTATGCTTTGTAAAGTGTCTTTTGACGCAGCTTACATACGACACGTCTTAAATAAGACACAAACTGTACCATTTATACGAGCATATAAGGAGTGTCTTAGCTGAGTCCCGTTTTCTTTAAACCTTGAACACATTTTTTGTGCTCCTTATTGGAGAAGTTAACTAGATGCGTCTTATTTTTCCCCGTTCATGTGGCCCAATTGTTTAATACCTTATGATGTAGTAATTGGTTTTATCCTGGAAATGACGACAAGAAAGACACTTTGTAATGATTGAGTCATTCTACAAAAACTCCAGAAGACTGTAAAACCTGATTTGTAATTTTTTGTTATGTCGCATTTTGTGACTTCAAGTTGTAAAGTGTTCAAATGTTCGTCATTTTCCTTCTCCATCGAGGATATGCAAGTGTTGTGATAGCTGCGTGTTTTTTCGCGGCTATCATCATATCATTTGTCATCCATTGTTAAAAAAGGGAGTACAGTGTGGAAGACATATCATTAGGGGGGGGGGGGAGGAGTTTACAACTCACTTTGGGCCCGGGGAGAGGAAAATTCACTTACTTTCAGTTACATAAAAAGTAAATGCCCCGGTCAACCCCGAGGGGGTGGCCGGGGCTTCAAATGACTGGACTGATGCAGTGATCCCTTTTTCAAGTCATGGAAAAATGACAAACAAAATTCAGATCTGTTTTTCAAAGTGATGAAAAAACGAGAAACGAAATTCAAATCCGTTTTTCAAAGTAATGCGAAAACGAAATTCATATCCGTTTTTCAATGTGATGCGAAAACGAAGAACGAAAACTAAAATTCACATCCGTTTTTTAAAGTGATACGAAAACGAAAAACGAAATACGAAGTGCAAAACCGTTTTTCAAAGTTAGGGCGAAAATGAAAAACAAAAAGCAAAATTCAAATCTGTTTTTCAATATCATGCGAAAACGAAAAATGGAAATGGCACTTGAATTCCCTTTTCCCATGCCATCGAAAAACGGTTGGCACTAAGGTACACGCATTCTTAAAGCCAATGTTAAACAAATTTTAAAAAAATCAAAACACTAAAAAAAAACGGTGATTAACCGAAAAATACAAATAAGGACAAACATCTAATAACAAATCAGTCAAAGTGAAACAAAATTAAAACTTCCTCCTCCCACTCGACATTTTCATTACTTATTTTCTTTTTAACTAGAATCTTTTCTCAGAAGCTGGGTACAAATATCGTCAAGGCTATCTATGATCGTTCCTTTTGAACTTTCTCACGAGAAGCAACATCCTTGTACTCGTATCACAGCGTTTTCACTTACGTTTTCAATGCGCTCAAAGACGGAGCGAAGCTGCTATTTTCGCGGGAAAAACTGCTATAAACTTCATTTAGTTTATTTATTTTATTTATCCGAAGAATGTAACGATCAAAAAACCAAACATCTGCTTTCATACTTTGACAGGGGTGTCTGGACAGAGTACCTCATTCATTCCCCTAGTACGTCCGTACTCTATGTCGACCCTATCAGCAACAGCAACCTCCACAGAGTCTATCAGCTCGACAACCTCTGGCCCCTCGATAACTGCGTCTGTAACCACCATGAATCCGACCAGTGAGGCTACGACTGAAGCGCCAACTGCGACTAAGGCGCCCTCCAGTAAGAGTAAGCCCCCTCATTAAAGACAACAGCGAAAGAGTGGGAAACATTATACTCTGGGTATTATTAATCTTGACATGGTAATAAGGTATAGGGAATCACGCCTCTGGCCAGGGACAAGGCCAAGACTAGGCGACACTAGAAACGTATGGGGGGACGAGTCGTAAAGCTCTTTACTTAGAGGGATCAAAGGTAGTGCGTGTAAACTCTTTAAATTTGTGTTGATATTTGCATAATCCCAAAGGAGGCGAGATTGCATCGCAGACTGTGTGCGACCGTCCCCTCCCTTCAGTAACAAATTTGCAGTCTTGTCACTGTTCACGATAGCTTATCATGTTGATATGAAAATTACTCCAGCCTGGAATGAACAGTGCCCCCAACCATAAAAAATTTTTCGACTTTACGAAGCTTTATCCGTCCATATAATCTCAGTTTTCAACAAATCACTTCAAATTACTTTAAATTTACTGATCTAGGGCGTTCTTTCCAGCCGTGTTGTCAGATTCTCGCTAACTGGTCGCAGTCAAAAGTTGAGAAGCAAATAACCGTAAAAGGGTCACTGTATTTAATCGTCACTCATGGAAAGCTTCGAATTGGTGCCTTTGTTAAAGGAATGGGGAAACTGTCTATTGTATACTGTAACCTGCTATGTTTTAGTGTCATCTCATTATTTTTTTCAACGCAATGTTCTTTACCCTTTTTTACATAATTTTGAATTTATCTTTGACATTTGCGCATTATCTGTTGCTAGCATGTGGCTGGGTGGGCGCCCTCTGGAAGAAACGTTGGAACAGCACGTATGAAAATAATAAACAGTTCATTAGGAACACTACGGAAAAACTGCAAATGTTGATGGTGAGTAATCTTATCTGTTTGTTTCCTTTGTTCCATAATTTTCTTAGTATGTTTCAGATGAATACTTTAATTATGTCCGATGTAGTAAAATTTATAGAGCTAGCCCTCCTTGATTTTCATTTAGTTCTATATTCCCATACAGATATTTTCTTTTTAATAATAAAGTTGCAAAACCTATCTAATATTACAAGAAAACGGCTGGCAGAGTCTAGTGCGAATCTCCTAATTAATAAAGCTAATGAAGGACGAAACAACTCATCCCTGTTCGATTAGCTATCTAAGGGCCTGTTTACATGGATGTGGGGGACCCTAGGTAGGTGAGGTAACCCTTTTAGATAGGGTAACGCGCCTGACCATAAAATCTCATTTTAATATGATCACTTTTACTTACTGGACCGGTTAACCCTCTCAGGCGGGTCCAATTTTGCCTGGTAAACTCTTCAAGGTGGGGTTACCCACCTAGCCGGGGTGGGATTCGTGTTAGTACTGATCAAACTCGAGCTAAATTTTTGGTTTTTGTTTACGTGCTTTGCGATGCTTTGTGACCTTTCATTAATCGGGATGGCGGGATCGTAAGATTACATTTTTAAATGTAATTTAAAAAACTCAAAATAATGAAAAATAACAGGAGTTTAAAACTCCTGTTATATTTTTTACCCTACCTGAGCGGGTTAACTCACCTACCTGGATTTCCCTACCTCCATATAAACTGGCCTAAAGCTAAGATAAAAGTAAGTATGTTTATGGGCGGAACGTTTGAGTCAGCTCGAAAAAACAAGTTTGATTATTTCTTTTTGCAGGAGCATGGCTTGTTTAATGATTCCAGTAAATATGGCAATGTAACGGTAGCAGAGTTAAGGGTTAATGAAGTACACGGATACGTTTATCTCTCGATTATGCTGTGTTTAGTTGTAAAAAGAAACAATACTGGCTTTATTGAAGATGTGATTTATATGTGGAAAAAGTTTGGTAACGAGAACGTCACAAATCTCGAATTTAGGACCGGTGAGTGAAATTTTTTGTTGTAATGGCTTATTCGGACAGCTTTCTTGTTGACACGAAAAGTTATCTGGTATGGTATGAAAGGCAACGGCCGGGGACTGGAACAAGTCCTTCACAAACATCGAACATCGTACTAAGGGAGCTGTTGGCTGAGAGGGCTTGGTGCACTATCTCAATCCTCACTTTTCCTCACCAAGTAGGTTCCAGTCCTCGCTCCTACCCATTTACTTCTGCAAAGGTCGTAATACCTGATTACATTGCGACAATGAGTGGAAGAAACCTGTCTGATATGTGACGATCCACTTTCAATATTAGCGAGCACTCTCGTCCCCAGAGCCATCTGGGGGCCTAAGCACGAGGACCAGGAGGCTCTGGGGACACACGATTTGAAGTCCAAGATTTTAGAACTTCCGGTCATTTCCGAATCAAAAGTAAGTTGGGGGATTCTCTTTTTAAAATCTTTGAATCACGTAAATTTACAGTCGTTGATACTTGGGCAAGAGTAAGTGACCGCTATATATTAGAAACGTTAAAGAAATCGCGCGGAAATCATGTTCCTTACGTGTGGACAGAAGTCGTATCCGTTAACGTTTTCGTACTGTCGTAAGAGCTATCGAATTCCTGTTTAGTTTCAACATAGCCTCAGGAACCGGTTACCTCCGGTTAAAGCTAATACAGGAATTTTATGATCCGTGTCCGGCACCTATTCATCGTTATCCTCACCCCTTCCTTTCTGTCACTGTCTCAAGACACTTTCAACGGCGTATATGACGTTTCTTTTTCTGTAGGATATTTTGTAACGTTTGGGGGCTTGAAAGCTAAGGACGGCGAGTGCAGCAAATGTTCCGGTCCTTTCGGTGTACTAATCACTCTTGAGATAGAATGTAAACCCAAAAAAGCTGAATACAGTTGCAATGGTCTGAAGAACTCGTGGGAAAACGACGACTGTGTAAAATACTGCGGTCGGCGTTTTGGTATGTATATAGCGCGCATACACCTTCATTCACATCTACACCTCTTCCCTTCTATCCCTTTCTCCAGACGCTTTCTGCAACGGCCTATATAACGTTTCTTATTCTGCAGGGGTAACGTTTGGGGACTGGAAAGCTAAGGACGGCGAGTGCAGCAAATGTTCAATTGGAGGCGCTGGACCAATCACTCTTGAGAGAGAATGTGAACCCAAACTTCCTGCATACAGTTGCGATGGTTTCAATACCACGATGGAATCCCAGGACTGTTTAAAATACTGCGATTCGAGTGCTGGTATGTAACAAGCGCGCATACATTCCGTAATGGTATGCATGATCTGACCGAAAATTAATTACAATATAGTTTACAGGCCCTATAGAGTGTTTTCAGTCACGTGGCCAGCATCTATGCAAGTTTATTGGAACAAAAGAAAGCGTTGGAAAGAAAAGAATTCAACTACCACAGGACCCGTTTGGGACACCAACAAGGCCGCCGTTTCATTGTTTTGGGACACCAATATGGCTGCTGAGACGTCATGTGAAAACACTTTATATTCTCTTTTTGAGACCCCGTTTTGAACGGACAAATTTTTTTTACTGTGCAACCTTTTACACGGAATCTTCCAAATTCTGTTACAGATTGCAGTACTTTTTACATCTTAAAAACTTGCACGGTTCCGCGAGTCTCGTGTAAACTAGGGAGTAAGGAGCTAGGGCGTTGAAACGAGCGGGATCTAGCAATCTAGCTGTGATGCAAGGGTCTGGGTATTACCAAAGAGACAAAACAAGATGGCGGACATTATACTGGACCGTCAGAGAGATTATCCAGCGAACGTTAGGCCCGGTTCAGACGCCGCTCCACTCAGGTGCCGAACCCAACTGATGAATTAAGTACGGCAAAAGAGCGGCTTGTGAACCAATTTGGTACGACGTTTTAGTTTGTGCGGCAAAAGCGTTAAGTTCCACAGAGTCTGTCGAACTTTGTCGAACTTAACTCAGGTTCGACACACTGTACGCCGTTTGAATCAAATGTCGCGCCAGTGTCGCTCCAAAGTCGAACTTATTCAGTTAGGTTGGGCACATGAAAAGTACGGCGTCTAAACCAGGCCTTAGCCATTTTCCCGTAGCATTCATTTGCTGCAAGCAACAGCGAAGGAACAAATTATTTTTTGTCACGTTCGCTTTCTGTTTTGTTTAATTTTCTTCCCACGCGAACAAATATCTGTATTGAAAATATTTTCCACCTCCTTGACGTGTAGCCTGCCTAACAAGCGTTTCTGCGCCAGTTCGACGAAAACGTTGGGACGAGAGCAGCTTGCTCCTGCTCTAACTTTCGCGCAATAACTCGATAACGATTGGAAACGCATGAGTATACAACCATAAACTACCCAGGGAGGGTAGGGTGGGAAAACTAGTAAATGCTGCTACTTATGACTGTTGCTAGCCAAGTATCTTGCAAATGAGTTTATAAGATGCTGGGCCCTGGATTTACACAAACGTGCTTGTACTTTTTACTGGCATTGAGTACAGAAGCTGATCGTAAAACCACTGGATACTTCGTGAGCAAAAAAACTTGATATGCCAGATGGAAAAGTATACGTACTCATTCTATGTAAAACTTGTACTAAGGTAAATGCTGTTTTAGTCCCAATACCCCCATGTTTGATATTTAGAACAGCATCACAAACCTGTCCTACAAAAAATCATAATAACAAACACATTATATGATCTAATTTTACGGTGGAATCTTTGTGGGGATTTGAAAGCAAATTTCTCTATAGGCTTCATTCTATTTCTGTGCAACACAACCTTTAGATTTATACCGCAGTGAAAGATAATTTGTTGTTGTTTATGTTTAGACTGTCACAAGAGATCATTCATATGCAATTTCGTAGTAGACCTTTAAAAATAGTCAAAACCTTCTTGGGTCACGTTTCTGTCGCTAGAAAATTATTTACCATCTTAGTGTATATTGGAAAATGCAAAATTGCTGAATTAGGAAAATGAATTCTTTTATTTTACTAACAAGCTCAACGCCAACGTACACACCAAAAACCTTGCTATCGCCATTATGAAGACGTCACTTCAGAAGTTAAAAACCTTGAAGGTTCATAAAAGTTCACTCCCAAAATTTGCATGCACAAACAAAATTTATAAAACCATTACATATTTTTTTTTGTAGGCGTATATTATCATTTGGTTTTGACTGGCAAGATAAAACGCGACCTTCAATCTGTAATGCTCCATAGGCCATTTTGACACTACATAAAAGCGAAAAAACACATTACCTTATAAGACTAACTATAAAATATCACCTAAATATTTTCTGTTCATCGTATAGAAATACCCCAAATAAGAAATTTGATTATAGATTGTAGCGATCTAAAGATTTGAAAGCAATAAATCCAAACCTACCTCCAGCTAGACGCGCCATTTTCTTGCCCTGACAGCGGATCGAGAGCGGAAAGGCGAATTAGTTCCAGTGGTACTTCGCATCACAGCTGAACCCGAGAGAGCGTATGAGCGTTTCAACGCCCTAGCTCCTTACGCCCTGGTGTAAACAAGACTGTTCCGTGAAAATGTTTACCCGTTTAAAATTTGTCCGGACTCTTGTAAAAGGGGTCTAGAAAATGGGGTCTAGTGCCGCTTTTTTTTATTTACTGTGGTTTAAAGCCTCACAATGAGATCAGATTGGCTGGCTGAGGACATACTCACTTATATGCACAAGTTGCAAATAGAGTCTAATTAAAGCTTCGATTGGATCCATTCGTTGAGGTTCGGTTCCAACAAAAGAAAACACTTATCAGCAAACTATTTAGTACAGTATATGCTGCCGATTGTTTCAGACAAATCAGTTCTGTACTAAACGAAGTTAAGGAGCAACAACCTAACATTGATTTAATGCATGGGATAAATGCACCTGATACGTACATACTGGCTTGGCAACAATGTGTCAGCTCAATTTAAATGAGACTGGCCTGTATGTCTTTCTTTCTAATGATATCTTTTCCCTTTGTCTTCAGCCAACCGGAAGTTTACGTCCATTTTCTTATTGCTGGCGGTACTCATATCTTTCAGGTAAGCTTCAGTTGATTCCGCTATTATCCTTGTTCCCTGTTATAGGTTAACAAATAATAATAAATTTATAAAAATTGTACTCACTATCTCTTTTCTCATTGGCTGATAGACTAAAGTTAATTGATTTTGGAAATCAGCGCAACCTACAGATTAGTTAGTTATCTGCTATCAGATTTTTGACTAAAGCTACGTGAAAACGGACGCAACAAGTCCCAACATTGTTGCGCTAAACGTTTGATCAATTTCAAACTTTGCGCAACAGCTCCCAACAACACGATAGAACATGCAACAGGGTGTGGAAACATACGCAACATGTAACATCCAAAAATGTTGCGCCCGTTTGCACGGGGCTTAATCTGTAGGTTGCGCGCACAACGCTTAATTTCTAAGAGCGATGTCAAACTATGTTCCATGCGATGCTGTCTTTGTCCTTATTTTCTTCAAACCAATGTCAGCTTAGGCCTTCGGCTTGGCTGATAACACCTACCTTGACCTTGATTATTCCGGATATCACCAAAGCTCATCCAATAATTGTTTAAGATAGGTAAAGAAATGAGATTAAATTCTTTCTCTTTCAGTACCAGCTTTACTATCTGGGAGTGAGTCATTCCCCTGACGGACGGGCATCAAGCAAGTCATCCAATTTTGTGTGAAAAAAGTATTTTTTTTAGGCCTTTTGTTAAGGTTACACTATCCTTTATGTAATTTTCGTATTTCGCATCACACCATTTTGTAAAGATTAGCGAATAGCTCTTTATTTGTAGCTAGTCATGCTAAAATTCCACATACATAATTCTTTGTACATTAACATAGCTTTCCTCGCTCCATAAAAGAATTATGTCAACTTAACTTGTAAAAATGGTATTTTTAAGTCTGGATTTCGGTGTGGGATAATGGTTGGCAAGTTCATAAAGGACCCATATTTTACTTTACAGAACTCTTTTCAGAAATGTAATAGATCTATTAGGGGAAGTGTAAGCTTCGTCATTTTGCATGGCTTTTGTTCCGGCTAAGATTGCCCAGTTTTGAAAAAGCTCTTGTTTTTACGTTTGGATATCTTAAGAACTTAAGACTGAAGCAGTTCCCTCTTAGGCTTTTGTACATTATGCTTTTGTTTTCCCATTTAAATGCTCCTTCTTAATGCTTCATTTTTCGCAATAAAATGTTCGGTCCTCCTAAAAAAAGTCACTAAAATGCTTGGCTAATGTTCATTGTACAGAGGCTTTTTCTTTTAAATGATCCTAATGTTTTAAGGGTCACGGTTATTTTATCTGGAAAAAAATATATTTTTCAGGAAAATGCCACTAACATGTTCGAATAATGTTTAATGCTTTTGCCTTTCTAAAATGCTCGAAAAAATGTCAGGGAAATGTACAAAAGCCTGGTCTCTCTGCATCTGGCGACAATGTTTTCTTTTACTTTTTCTTTCTTTTTTTTTTTTTTAACCTTGGTAGACGTTTTGCAACAATGCAACTCAATATAAAGTTTCTAAGGAAAGAAGAAATGCTTCCCAAAAATGATTGATAGCCTGCGAGTGACTAATAAGCAACCTCGCCGGCCATCTTATACAGTGGAGCCTCGATATAACGAAGGGCCAGGGCAGTGGTAAAATTTGTTCGCCATAACGAGGCCTATTCGTTATATCGAGGTTATTTTTCCGTATATTTTACCATTACCTGAGTGAGAATTGTTCATCATACCAAGGACTTCGTTATATAGAGGTTTTACAGTATATCAGCGATCAGTTTATGTCAGAAAATGTGTAACGAATAAATGTTGTTTGATTATTGAGTGTGAAAACTGTGTTTCGATTTGTTTAGAAATGAATTATCTAGATCTGTTATTCGCGTTGTGGAAGAGAGATGCAGGAAGACGGCTAAAGCTGCAATTTTCATAGTTAACTTTAGTTGACAACAAAAAAAATATGGGTAAGGTTGACTTTCTAGTTATGAAAAGAGAATGCTCTCCAAAGTTTGGACACCTATTTCCTTTAGTCAAACAGCACAGACTGCAATGAAGCCATTTATCCGATCAGCTTGGCAACTGTCATTTTGTTTTCAGTGTTTTGTTCTAAAGAAAACAATATGTGCAAACATTAATAGTGCAAAACATTCCTTCAGCTTAGATTACTTAGCTAGCTAGCCTAAAAATTGTTATCTCTTTGATTTATTTTATGCTTTGGAGTTTTGGTAATTGAATTGAAAGGATGGTATGGCTTACTGACACTGATGTAAGTGCAAAGTTATCATAAATCTATTATATATTTCAGTTCGTTGAAAAGTGATAATCGTTTTTCTTAGAGTTAGACTTTTAAAGTACGCTTATCAACATGTATCAAGATTCAAATGAAATATAAGACAAGGAATGATTTTAATTTGGACGATAGATCATTAACGGATAGTTTACACTGAGGACAATGAAGGTTGTTATCCAAAGCAATAAGTATGTATATGCCGTTGATACTGAATACATAGAAACACATTAATGAAATTAAACCAATGCATTGATGGCCACTATAAGGGAGCAAATTAAGGTGAAGAGAAGCCTCACCTTATTCTTGTTGAACCAGTTCAAACTCTGCAGTATCGTTAATTTTCATTGGGAGTCAAGGACCTATCCCCACCACCTGATTTGAAGTCACAATCTCGTAAAAGAGAAAGAAAAAGGAAAACATTTTCAGGACATGACTGAGGAATCTATGTTCATGACATTTGTCCGTTACTCGGTAGTTTGAGGATACGAAAAAATTTTTATTGTAGCCGATAGTCTTCATCAAATAGCAATTTTCATCAGTTTGGTTGTATTTTTGCTGTTCTTGGTATAGTTTTAGGCAGGGGTTCGGTTTTCTCTTCTTCACAAAATGAGCGACGTCTCTAATAGCGTAACCTCGTCCCTAGGACTTCTCAGTTTCTGCCGTTGACGTCTCGGCGGCCATATTTGATGCTCCAAAACAATGAAACGGCAGCCGCCATGTTGGTGTTCTAAAGTTCATTTTTTTTCTAATGTGAACGCTTTCTTTTGTTCCAAGAGATTTGAATAGATGCTAGCCAAGTGAGTGAAAACCCTCTATTGGCGTCATTTTATCGGATATTCGCAAATGTAATTCAAGTTATTTTGGTCCACGCTAGCGGGTTGCAGAGAAGAATCATAGGCTACTGGAAGAATTTAAAGCCGCGGGATTTAAGCCAATCAAAAACGGAGAAATATTTTGAATGAATAATACAGCCAAGCCACTGGTCAAGGGCACCCCAAGAGAGCAATAATGAATTTAGTTTTTAAAAGTTGTATCTGTTTGTAGTTATAGATTGCAGATTCAACTCTACATTCCTTCATGCGTAATGAGCTGCAAATTCACAAGCGAAGTAGTTTAATTGAAATATCTGCCAGTTAATAAGTTTCCAAGAATTTGATATACAGAGCAATTCTATCCAATCAAAGATTTTTCACTCTGACCGAATACTGAGAAGTTGTTGGCAAAAATTCACTGCTCATTATGCATTCAGGAATTTAGATCTGAATTTGAAATTGAATTCGGTTATGGGGTACTCTTGTCCTGGGAATTAAATTGCTCCGCCCCTACAACAATTTTTATAATCGTAAGCTTAAATCCCGGAACGCGCGTATTTAAGGAAATGAACTTTGAGATTGTCACGGGTTTGGGAGTTGTGTCAAAACAGAACTTTATAAAAGCATTGATTCATCTAGTATATCAAGCATGAGACGCCCTGTTTGATCAGCAGATGAAACCCTGAGAAGAGAGTTAAAAATACGACGCGCAGCGGAGTATTTTTGACGAACTTCGAGGTGTTTCATCTGGTGATGAAACTATATGTCAGGGGCACCCAACGAGAATATAGTTTAAAACCACTTAAACATAGCATTGTTGAACGTATTTTAGTATTTAAACGGTAGATACAGGCATATCTTTGTCCCCTAAAAATTTTTCATCTGTTCGGATTTCCTTGCTGAAAGTCTAGTGATCTGAAAATTATAGGGATCAGACTTACCTTTTCTAAAATTTCGGCCAGAAAACTGGGCTCCCGACAATTCTAGGTGACCTTTTTAGGGTAAAATTCGTTAAAAATGGCCAATTATACCATTTTTTAGATGTTCGAAATTCCCAGGAGAGGCAGGCAAGCAAGAAATTTTGAATGTTCCGAAAATTCTAGATCTCAAATCGTCTTCCAAATAGATATTTTTCGAAAATTGGCGTTGGGTGCCCCCTGGCTGTGTCGAATGTTTGATCAAACAATGATTTTACCAGAAGAAATTGCGGATGCAGAAATGAGCAGTTTTTCATCTGATTTCCAAACACTTATTAAACATTGATTCCCTTTGTACATTTTTTGTGAATTATTGATGAGTTTGAGAAGTATGAAGTCGGTGTAAATGAACAGTCCGTTTTTTTGTGCGAAAAGGAATACCAAGTAAGGGCCTGTTTACATGGAGTGGGGGACCCCGGTCTAGTGGGGTTGGTTTCTTTTGTTTTCACGCTCTGGGGAACACAAAACAAAAGAAACCTACCCCACTAGACAGGGGTCCCCCCACTCCATGTAAACAGGCCCTAAGTGGAGAGACATGCCACGGATGGGTTCAAACCTGTTTGTCTTTATTCTTACCACTTGTTTATCTTATTAGCAGTGAAAACAATTCTATATTTCGGTTCGAAAAAACCGTTCTCGGATAAACTACTATATTTTAATCGCATTTGATTATTCGCATTTGATTATTTTTATAGAAAATGCAAAATATAAATATTAAATATTATTAAATATTACTATACAGAAGAACCCCGTTTGAAGACGACATAGTTTTTGTTTTAGAAAGGTAAGATAGAGGGATCGAAGCTCCTCTTATTTTTTGTTTGCCCCTTCACCGCGAGACTGTCACACTTGTCAGGCTTAGTTGCTCTGTTAGATGTAGAACTTATACATGATTGTCTGCATAGTTACCTTCAATTTTAGTCGGTTGCACGCGGAACGAGCACTTCGTTACAAGATTTCTGATACCTTAAAATCCCTAAGTACATTGTCAGCTTTTAAAAAAGCAGTCCGCCAGCTAAGGTTCTAGCTAATTCTCAATAATACCTATATTCTATTATGTAAATAGGCTTTTATTAAGAATGGCTATCTCACGTAATTTTAGGCTTTATACTGTATAATTATATGTTTTTGGATTTCCCTTTCTTCCTCTCTTATTTTATTTTTCTCGGCTTATATATTAGCATATTTTTGCCAGAGGTCTAACCAACCTCATCAAACCCAAGATTAAATAAAGCTTCATTCATTTATTCGTTCATTCAACTCGATACCGGCCTTTCACCGAAAACAAAGCACGCGATTGAAAAACATTCGTATACATTTCCAATCATGGGCTGTGCTCCCGCTTGACATAAATTTAAATAAACATTTCAAAGGCACCTCTGTTTCTAGGAAAACAGATAATCACCCTCGTACATGAATTTAAAAGCTCTCTCTCTCCCTCTTGTCTTTTTTTTTATTGCGGAATGCAATTGCGTTGTGGTTGGGAGACTTGCATTTTTATTAAAGAGGGAGCAAAAAATTATAAGTTCAGCTCAAAATGTTAATTCAGTGTCGACTCATTTGATGTCAAATTACCCAGGCCATTGAGCTTTTCATTAATTAAGAATGGATTTTTGGTAAATTTTCGAGTCATATGAACCCGGAAGCCCGTGCGTCAGGTGAATGATCACGTGTGAAGCGGGTGAACAGTGCTGGACTATGTCAAGCTTCTAGTGTCTTTGAATTTATTGAATTTAAGTAATTTAAGTAATTTGTTATTTAAGACTCTATTTAGGTATTGAAACTGTTTCTTGTTGTCTGGTGCAACGGATGACATGCAAGGATGGAAAAGTTGGGCCACCTTTTTCACGTTTTAATGGCTAGTGCCTGTAAAAATCACAAAACAAATATTATGGCTATTCGTCCCTAACGAAATTTGTTTGATATCTTCTTCATAACTCTACAGGAGTTTTTTTGTGTATGGCTTTAGGCACTAAGTTTCTCAAACAGTAAGATCCTGAAGACATAGTCCCTTTGAAACCGTAGAACACCTCAATACACCGTATTTATTGGGATAAGCGCCCAACCTCGAATTAGCGCCTACTAGTCAGGTCTCTTAGTGCAAAATATAGGCCGGATCGTTACAGACGTGACAAAAGTGTCAAATTTGGCACAGAGCTTCCTTAGCACCTGCCGATTAATACTGGAGGGGGTGCCCGTTACAAACGGTCCTAATTACAGATAAAAGGGGGGGGTTAACTTTCACCTATAATAACAGATTGGGTGCCCTGTGGTGAGTACTCTTCTTGTTTGATTTGGCTAAAAAAAACTGTTTCAAATTTTTAAGTTTTTAATTTGGTAATGTTTAGTTGTTGTTACACTATTCAAAATAGTTTTTACATGTATATAATACTGATTAGTGCCCAGTCTCCACACGGTAAGTGTGACCATGTTCACTGTGCAGCTATCAGTGTCACTTTTAAGACTTGCCAGTGATCATATCATTACATATCAATTTAAACAGATCACAAAGTCAGCTTTCAAAGATGTCATACAATAACATAAAACCCAAATGTATCACATCCTAAACGATAGGATCGTTAAATTTTGACATGCCATAAGAACGACCTCATGAACCATAACTGACAACGCGCCCACTTTGTAATTGTGCAGCTAAGATTATTATATTATAGTTTGCTTCGCTGGTAACCCTGTCCTTATAGGCTACTGGAAGAATTTAAAACCGCGGGATTTAAGCCAATCAAAAACGGAGAAATATTTTGAGTGAATAATAATCTTATTTATTACAGCCAAGCCACTGGTCAAGGGCACCCCAAGAGAGCAATAATGAATTTAGTTTTTGAAAGTTGTATCTGTTTGTAGTTATAGATTGCAGATTCAAATCTGGACTGCATTCCTTCATGCGCAACGAGCTGCAATTTGACAAGCGAGGTAGTTTAATTGAAATATCTGTCAGTTAATAAGTTTCCTTGAATTTGATATACAGAGCAGTTCTATCCATTCAAAGATTTTTCACTGAGGAGCAAGGGTGGCGCAGTGGTGAGAGCGCTCGCCTCCCACCAATGTGGCCCGGGTTCGAATCCTGGCGTCGACGCCATATGTAGGTTGAGTTTGTTGTTGGTTCTCTCCCTTCTCCGGGTACTCCGGTTTTCCCCTCTCCTTAAAAACCAACACTTCCAAATTCCAATTCGATCTGGAACGCACGGACACGTTTCAACGAGTTCTTATGAACTTTTTAGTGATCCGTGGGTAAACAAATTACAATTTACAATTTACAATATTTTTTTAAAAATTTTTTTACACTCTGACCGTATACTGAGAAGTTGTTGGCAAAAACTCACTGCTCATTATGCATTCAGGAATTTAGATTTGAATTTGAAATTGAATTCGGTTATGGAGTACGCTTGTCCTGGGAATTAAATTGCTCGGCCTCTACAACAAAAATTTGTTTAAACAAGAGCAAATGAGCTGACATTCTCTCTTGTTTAAACAAAGGAGTCTCCTGTTAGGTTTAAATAACTTTTCGGCTGTGGGGAATTTGCAGACTTTTCGATTCATTTCAACCTTTTTTGTGGTTTATTTGCATGTTTGCATGGTTATCCAACTTGCCGTCAGTATGATTTTCATAGGACGGGTAGTTCTGGTGGGGAAAAGGAAAAACAACTCTCCCCTACCCCCTAGGGAAGGCTTGATACTCGCGCTTTAGTTTGGATAGGTGCAATGCCCAGTGCGATGCTACAAAAAAGAGAAGTCTCATAAGTCCCATTTACACCACAGAAAAAAAAAATGGGTCCGGACCCATAGAAAAGTTGGTACGGACCAGATATTTTTGCTGCGTAAACTTTCCGTACCACGTTTTCATGAAACGGATCCGGACTCGATTTTTTCTGGCTTTTTGGCCATAGGCCGGACTATGGCCCCAAAACCGAAAAAAACGAGTCCGGACCCCGTTTGCTGTTCGAAAGCGCTGTTTAAAAGCATCTTCGTTCCGTACCATGTTCTTCATGTGAGCCTGCCGTGCTTTACCGTGGTTTCGTGCGTGTGTACCATTGCCCTTTTAAATCATGAGCCTAATCTGATTGTTACCTGTGTAAACGGTTAAAAAAATGGTCAAGACCACTTTTTAATGGGTCCGGACCCGGTTTTTTCTGTAGTGTAAATAGGACTTCAGTTTGCATACACGTTTGCTGTTTTTTTTTTTTACCTCGATTCGCAAATTCAGTACCTGACGCACTTCCTTGGCCAACCCCACGAGTTCGCATTACCGCGATCTCCAGTATCAATTTGAAGATAAAGTTACATAGAAACGAACAAACACGATGCAAGACAGGTCAAGTTTCAGACTCTTCAGACACTCTAGTCAGACACTTCGCGGCATCGAAAGCTGTGGACCTTGTGACTTACTTGCGCGTTCGAACACCGCTTTGCTTTATAGCAATTTTTCACGGACTAAGACATGTTGCCTCGACCAATCATTGCAATTACTTTGGTGGTAGCTTTTATTTCACAAGGTCAGTAGCGATTACATTGTACATCTAGTCTCACTAGTAGCTTCGAGTGCAAGCTCCAAGCCCTATATATTTTTTTGTAGCATTCTTGTAAAACTCTTTCTTCACTCCAAAATAGCAACAGTAGGCACCAATGACTTTTTTAATAAAACATTTTGTCGACGAGAAGAAGGGTTAAAAATGCAGGATCTTTATTTGCAGGAAAACCCGAAATCTTTCTGTTTCTATTTTCATAATCGCAAGCTTAAATCTGAACGCGCGTAATTACAGAAATGAACTTTGAGATTGTCACGGGTTTGGGAGTTGTGTCAAAACAGAAATTAATAAAAGCAGTGATTCATGCAATATATCAAGCATGAGACGCAGTGTTTCATCACCAGATGAAACACTGAGAAGAGAGAAGAAATACGTCGCGCAGCGGAGAATTTTTGACGAACTTCGAGGTGTTTTATCTGGTGATGAATCACTGTGTCAGGGGCACCCAACGAGAATATAGTTCAAAACCACTTAAACATAGCATTGTTGAACGTATTTGAGTATTTAAACGGTAGCTGTAGGCACATTTTTATCCCCTAAAAATTTTCGTTTGTTCGGATTTCCTAGCTGAAAGTCTAGTGATCCGAAAATTATAGGGATCAAATTAAGTTACCTTTACGAAAATTTCAACCAGAAAAAAGGCCCCCGAAAAATTCTAGGTGACCTTTTTAAGGTAAAAATCCGTTAAAAGGGGGCAATTATACCATTTTTTAGGTGTTCGAAATTCCTAGGAGAGGCAGGCAAGTAAGAAATTTTGAATGCTCCGAAAATTCTAGATCTCAAATCGTCTTCCCAACAGATATTTTCCGAAAATTGGCGTTTGGTGCCCCTGACTGTGTCGAATGCTTGATCAAACAAAATGATTTTACCAGGAGAAATTAAGGATGCAGAAATGAGCAATTTTTCATCTGATTTCCAAACACTCATTAAACATTAATTTCCTTTGTATTTTCTTGATGAATTATTGATGAGTTTGAGAAGTATGAAATCGGTGTAAATGAACCGTCCGTGTTTTTTTTGTGCGAAACGGAATACCAAGTAAGTGGAGAAACATGGCACGGGCGTGCTTGCATGTTGTCTGGGTTCAAACCTGTTTGTCTTTATTCTTACCACTTGTTTATCTTATTAGCAGTGAAAACAATTCTATATTTCGGTTTGAGAAAACGACCTTTAACGAAAAAACCGTTCTCGGATAAACTACTATATTTTGATCGCATTTGATTATTTTTATAGAAAATGGGCAATATAAATATTAAATATTACTATAGAGAAGAACCCCGTTTGAAGACGACATAGTTTTTGTTTTAGAAAGGCAGGATAGAGGGATCGAAGATCCTCTTATTTTTTGTTTGCCTCTTCACCGCGAGACTGTCACACTTGTCAGGCTTAGTTGCTCTGTTAGATGTAGAACATATACATGTCTGCATAGTCACCTTCAAACTCAGTCAGTTGCATTACTGACCAGCACTTCGTTACTTGTACAGTGACGAGTCTTCATAAACTAGCAGTCTCTTTGATCGTATTGGTGACAGCCTTGTGGATCGAGGTATCCAGAACTTGTTAATTATTGCATTTAAGACAATAAACAATTATCCAGCTGAATATCTGAGAGGCCTATTTAGGTTAAGAGGCAACATCAAAAACCTGAGAGGGGTTAACAAGAAAAGCTGCAAGTACCGAAACCTAATACGACTCGTTATGGCAAGAACTCAGTAAATTACTTGGCGGCTATTACTTGGAACAAGACTTCTGATACCTTAAGATCCCTAAGTACATTGTCAGCTTTTAAAAAAGCAGTCCGTCAGTTAAGGTTCTAGCTAATTCTCAATAATATCTATATCTATTATGTAATTAGGCTTTTTGAATGGCTATCTCACGTAATTTTAGGCTTTATACTATATATAAGTTTTTGGATTTCCCTTTCTTCCTCTATTATATTTCTAGGCTTATTAGCATATTTTTGCCAGAGGTCTAACCAACCTCATCAAACCCGAGATTAAATAAAGCTTCATTCATTTATTCATTCATTCAACTCAATCTCGGCGGCCTTTCATTGAAAACGAAGCACACGGATTGAAAAACATTCGTATACATTTCCAATCGTGGGCTGTGCTATCGATTTACGTAAATTTTAATAATTATTTTAAAGGCTCTTCTGTTTCTAGGAAAACAGATAATCACCCTCATACATGAATATAAAAGCTCTCCCTCTTCTTTTTTTTTCATTGCGGATTGCAGTTGTGTTGTGGTTAGGAAACTTGCATTTTTAATAAAGAGGGAGGGTAAAGTATGTAAGTTCAGCTCAAATGTCGACTTATTTGATGTCAAATTACCCAGGACACTGAGCTTTTAATTAGATCAAGAATGAATTTTTGGTAAAATTATAGACGGTAAGGATTATATAGAATAAAAACTCCACTTTCGGTGAATTTTTGAGTCATATCAACCAGGAAGCCCGTGCGTCAGGCGAATGATCACGTGTGAAGCAGGTGAGCAGTGCTGGACTATCTCAAGCTATTTGCTATCCTTTCAAAAGCTAGAACCTGTCTTTGAATGTATTGAAGTAAAGTAATTTAAGTAGTTTTGTTACTTAAGACTATTGTTGGTTTTCACTTGACGTCACTAAAATTCAAACTAAAAAAAATATCGATCCTACCGACATTTTTCTTTCACGATGTATTAGAGCAGCTGAAAACTAATTTTCATAAAAATTTTCGCTTCAAAAGGGTTCGTGGTTTTGTGATAGAGTACGCTTGAATTTCTAAGCTTTTGCGTGACGCGGCATTTACATGACAGCCAAGAGAGCTGTCATGTAGGTTAAAAAATGACTTATTTCAGGAAATTTTGCTGTCTTTATACTACTACATGAGAAATTACTGCAATTTGATTGGCTTAGAGCAGTGATATTTCAGCTTAATTTGAAATACCTACATGTGAAAATTACAAACCTTTTGCGGGTAGTAGTATAAACTAATAATAGCATGATTTTTACGTGATATTTGGCATAAATACCATTCGTGATATTTCAAAATTGTCTCAAATTTCACTCGCCTGACGGCTCGTGAAATTACGTATAACAAGTTAGACTTTCTCAAAGTCGTTCGCTTGGTTTTCTGGTCTGGATCCAGGTGAGCACCAGCATGGCCGGCGTCTGCATAAAACTCTTTATAAGTTCGGGTAAAACATTTCTTCAGATATCTCGTGGACGAAATATTCCTCTGACCTGAATCTTGGCGAGGGTCTTTGTATATGTACCTCCTCGGTTTTGATTTTTATTTTGATCCATTTTGAATGGCGTGACACTGAAAACCAGAAATATTTAGGCATTGAAACTGTTTCTTGTTGTCTGGTGCAACGGATGGCATGCAGGGATGGAAAACTTGGGCCACCTTTTTAACGTTTTAATGGCTGGTGCCTGCAAAAACCACCAGCAGTTTTTTGTTTAATGCCGTTTAGGCACTAACTTTCTCAAACAGTAATATCCTGAAGACATAGCCCCTTTGAAACGATAAAACACCTCAGTATAACGTATTTATTTGAATAAGCGCCCTGGCCAGCCTCGAATTAGCACCCATCTCGAATTAGCGCCGATCCTAAAGGCAGAAAAAGTTAATAAGCACCCAGCCTCGAATAAGCTCCACCTCACCCCCTCCTCCTCCCAATTAAACTCAAATGAGCGCCCACCTCCACCCCACCCACTTGAGAGACAATGAGATTGAAATTAAAATTGAATAAGTACTAATAAGAGTATTTTACAGAAACCTTGCTTTGTTACTTCTGCGCGTTTTGTTATTAGCATTTACTGTTTTGTTGCAAAATAAACATACTACACTTGCTGAAAATGGTGAAAATTTAATAAGCGCCCAGCCTCGAATAAGCGCCCATTCTCAAGGTCCAAAAATTTAATAAGAGCTCTTTTATTCGAATAAATACGGTAAGTACAAAATTGTTTACGATTTAAGGCGCTGTTCAGACGCCGAACTTTTCCTGAATCAAACCTAATACATTGAATTGAGAGCAAGAATCTTCGGCGTCTGGTTCAATTAGGAACGCGTTTTTCAGTTTGGGCCCAATTGTTCAGCCGTAGTTTCCGCCTATCCCGGTCGGGAATTTCGACTTTGGGGAGACCTTAGAACGGCTCTGATTCAGACACCGAACTTTTCATGTGCTGAACCTAATGCAAGAATTCAAGAGAGAATGATCAAGGGGAGCGAATCCCCCTCACATGACCCTCTTCCCATGAAAATTATTTTTAATCTATTCTTGGTTCGTTTTCATACTGTTTGGTTATTTTAAGGACGCCACCTTATTGGTCGGTTAGAGTGGCGTCATGTAATTTTAAACTCGGCGGGTAATTGCCTATCACGCACAGCAAGCGATATGACGTGCAAACTTGGTATTACTTTCGTCGACGAGTCAAAAGATTTATACGTGGAATAATCTGGCCAGAGTAGCTGACGAACAGCAAAACGGTCCTGGCTTGTAGGAGTACGCAGGAGAAAGCGGTTCCAACTAGGCGAAAACTGCTCATTGAGGTCTTCGCTACATCAGTCTATAGACAACCAAACCATTGTAAAAAACGACAGCCGTCTCTTCCGGCGACATCCACGCACACCCGCGAACTGTGTTTCCGTCGTTTGGATCCTACCATGGACACGTAACGAGAAAATAGGTTCAAAGTGAGTTCAAACATGAATGTTTCGCCGCCGAACATTTGAATTCTGTGAGGGCGCTAGACAAATGTGGGCACACCGCTCACTATAAAGAATTGACCGAAACCGGAAACCGCGCATCCAAACTCTCTGGCATCCGGGTTAGCGACTGTTTAACAGCTTGAAGCATCTGACCTGATTTGTGTTTGCACAGCGAAATAACGTGAAATTTACCCTTCATGCCCGGTCTTCTTCGAAAGTTAACTGCTATCCCGACAACCTTAGCGGTTCCTTACTCGTGCGTTATTGGCTCACGTCATTCTGGGGTCAATTTAATTTGTTTTGACAAAAACCGTTTTTGGTTACAACACCAATTTTTGTTCCGCATTTTTTTGCTTTTTTGGTGCATTTAACCTTGAGGAGCCATTTCTTTTTTGACGTAAGTATTTTTCTGCGGGAGTTCTCCATATTTTTCACAATTGTTTTTAATCTCGGGACTCCTTTAATCCAGGAGTGACTTTTTCTACGACAGACAGTTTTGAAGGGCCCCTTTAATTTTCGTGGTAAGAGATTTTCACTTGACCCTAATTAGTTAAATACTTTAGACCATTTACAGTCAAGCCAGGTCAAGCATACCCCCGCAAGATTCCATTAATGAATTTATTATTCGAAAGTAGTTGTAAATTTCAGATTCATCTCTGCATTCTTACATGTGTAATGAGCCGTGAATTCACACGCGAGGCAGTTATGGAATTTCTACCTGCTCAGTTTCCCTGAATTGATATAAATGTCTTCGAAGTAAATTTATCTATTCAAAGATTTTCAATCTGACCAAATACACAGAAGGTCTCGTAAAAAATTCACTGCTCATTAGGCATGCACGAATGCCGATGTGAATTTGACACTAGTTACGGGAACGACTAACGGATTCATTTTTCAAATAATCAATTCATGAACAGAATCTTGGAGGGTACGCTTGACCTGCCTTGGCTGTTACTGACACTTTAATTTCCGCTCAAATTTTCATATTTGCTATTTTCAAACTCTATTTACATTTAAAGAGGCCATATTGTTCTCGACATAGACAGAGGATGTCGGGCAAGGGCTCGGAGCCGGGCTAGAAACATCTTCGCTCAGTTGCACTTTGTCCCCGGATGATTCACAACATCATGTTACAGGAGCCTTGGTGTCGATGCATCCTTATCACCGTGCCCGCGTATTCCTATTCTCATTCACACACTGTATGTTCTTCAATCTTCTTTATTCCTAAAAGCAATGGAGTAACTTCCATTAAACTTATGATATTAATTTACAGTTTCGAATCACCTTCTTTACACTCTTTTCTCCTGGATTTTTCTTCAGCCCATCGTCTATTGTTATCTTAAGAGACTACCCTCTACTGTAAACAACCACTCTTCACTCCGCTTTTATCACCTCCGTAACCTCTCGCGTACAGCTATCATCCAATAAAGACAAAGACTTTTTAGTTTAATCAACGGTGACACTTTTTATCCTCTTTCCGTTTGGCCTCAAGAACGGAAAAAACCCACCGGCGACTCAAAAACTTTCAAGCTATTTTTATTTTTAATTGGCAACGGCTGCTCTCCCGGGGGCCTCATTTCTCAATGGATTTAACTTCTCAGCACTGGTCTACTGACAAAAAAGCTGAAAAACGCGCCCGACAACAGGACGTTCTACGCAGCAACATGGAAAACAAAAGACACATTTTGTTTTATTTTGGTTTCCATAATGAGGAATGGCTCTACTTGCATGGACAAAAAAGAACAACTGCCAACTAATTATCAACTGCCTTTCAAACTTTGAGATCATTAATTATATTTCCTATAATCATTTCAACTTTCAAATTCTTATCGTATACATTTATTTAACTCATCTTTTGTAACTTAGATTTCTATTATACCTTGTTTTTTGTTTCCCAAAAATTGTTTTTATATAAAAGACATATTCAGAACTCTTCTCTCAATAGTTTAAATTTTAACAGAAACTTCACATTTCGGTTTTATATATAATCTTGTACATCGCCTTCTATTTTGGGTTTATAATAAAGCATTACACAATATTTCACACTTCTACTCCTATCATACTCTAAATGCACTCCTAATATACTACCTCTTAACCCTTCTTACTCTATTTATTAATTTTATTTACACAATGTACTGTTGTGGACATAGCTGCATCGCAGTTTGTGGGTCCCTCACTATTGTTGTACCATAACCTCCAAACATTTTTTATTTTGTTTTACGCTTAGTTACTGTGGGCAAGTGTCTTGCAGTTTGTTGGTCCCCTAGTTACACTTGTACTTTGCTTAACCATAATCCTCACATATTTTTTGATCACTTTTACTTACAACAACCCCACGCACACACCCTCTCTACTCCTTCACCCACTGATTCTATCAGTGGAGGAGAACCCATGTATTTGGTGATCCCTTTCCCAAAACCCGGCATGGCACAAAGGTTGATAGAGAAACTACTGATTGAATTTTAACTTTGCAAAAAACAAACTTCTGCCTTTATACTTTGACAGGTGGGTCAGGACAGAGTACTTCATTGACCCCCACACTATCACTGACTCCGTCCTCTATGTCGACCCAGTCCACATCATCACAGAATATGTCTGCCGCAACAACCTCTGCCACAACCTCGATGAATCCGACCAGTGTGACAACGACTGCAGTGCCCCCCAAAAAGAGTAAGCCAATAAAAGATTTTAGGGGCGTACTCAGCCCAGAGACTTGTAGTCCCGGGCCTACAAATTTTTGGTTTGATCGCTCTACCATTTGTAATAAATTATGCGTCTTTGGGGTGAGCTAAAAAGCTTAAGAGCTCACAGTGTTGGTGAGGTCAGTGCGTACTACTCATTCGTGCAGTTTTCAGGATATGTGGAAATGAAAGTCAGCCAGGCCTACAACTAGTCGAAAAGCTGGCTACGCCCCCGGATTTGATATTCTACCCTGGGTATTGTTATTCATTACATGTTAATGATGTATGGGGAATCGCTCTGGCCAGGGACAATCCCAGGACAAGGCGAGAAACTGGCAGGATCAACACCCATTTATCCGGTTGCAGAAAAAGTCGTTAGACTCTTTACTTAGAGGGATCAAATGAAGCGCGTGTAATAATAATAATAATAATAATAATAATAATAATGATAATTATATACACTTATATAGCGCCTTTCTCTTAGTGATCCAAAGCGCTTTACAATCAGTAAATACTTAGAAAGCTAAATATTCAAATACAACATAACAGGATTTAAGAGTGAGTCCATGGGTGCACCAGGCAGGTGTTCTACATGCTATCTCTCCGATTTCAATGAAACTTGGCCAGTTTAAAGGGTCTACCCCAAAACTCAAAATGACAAACTGGTTCATAGTTTCGATCTTTATGGTGGGAAATAGCCCACTCAACTGGTTTAACTAAATTTGTTACCAATAAAAGTGCATTAATAACAGCCAAAGTAGGAAGCTCTCAGGACAACTGTTCTTAACCTTTTACCTTGAGGGTTTGTATATATGTTGATACATCTTTGACAAATGCAAGGATGTAAGTTTCAGTCAATTTGATTGACAGCTTGTCAATTACTGGCCTTGAATATGGGACCAGCTTTTTAGCCATTCAAATATTTGTTGATTTTGAGATCAAATATCTCTCCTTGCCAGAAAGCTATAACAATAATTTTGCTAATCCCTGTTTACCAACCCTTTAGTCTATAATAAACATAAAAAACATTTTTGGGCTCTGCCTTTTTTGGACGTCAGATGCCACTCGAAAACTGCACCTAAAACAAGCTTATTTCCACTTCTCTTGCCCTATAATTCAGCAATTAACGGCCGCTGAAGTTACTAAACCGACACTTTCCAGCCCGTTGTACAAGAATAATAATTGAGGAGTCTAATGCATGCTTAAAACGTTCAAGATTTTGCGAGAAAATTAAAGATTTCACACTGATTAGTAATGCATGCCACCAAAATATCAAAGGCAAAATCGTATTAAATGTTTGTGACCTCGTTTTGATTTTCTTGCAAAATCAGAGATTATTCTTCTTACGAGTTAAACTATACAGAAGTCCTTCATTCAAGTGTTAATGGTCTTTACTGTGACAAGAACAAGCTGTTTTTCATTTCCTGGGGAGATTTCAAGGCCACATGGCGCACGGTTGTTGACAAGCTTTAAATCACGCCAGTATATGCCAGTCATAAAGCAAAGTCAACTTGTACATCTAAAAACAACATTCAATGATGAGAAATTCTTCCTTCTACCGATAAATAAATTACGCCCTTAAAAAGTTCATTAAGTTTTAGCTACAACCTCAGAAAAAGAATAGTATTTCAAAGAAGAATGGTGTTAGTTTTACTTATCCACCGTCGACCTAGGCCGAACTATTATGTATGCTGCGTGACCGGCCAATATTTGTTTAGAATCCAATTCTTTGCCTCCAAAAGGCCTTCTGAATGTCCTTCTTATCTCTATAACTATATTTATCTCCTCCTATCTTCATTTTTCTTTTAAAATGCAAGTTGTTCCAAGATCTCCGTCACTCTCAATCACCAAGTATTACGTGACAAAAAAGTGCCTGCAATGTTTTGATCAGCGAATTTCCCGCGCCTTCCCCAGAAATTAACATATATAAATCTAAACAATTTTTGGTTGTCTAGAGAATGAATAGAAATACACAAAACAAAACGTAACTAAAAAATAGGTATTTACATTTTTGTTTTCGTCTCCCTAAGGTCAAAACTGAGAAACACAAGCCTCAGTATACAGATCCCCCCATTGAAACACGTGATCTTTTTTTACTTAATATCCCGTGTTTAGTTCCTGTTTTAAAGCCACAACATTTATTGTCGATTGTTCGTTAAAAAAGGCGTTTATTGTCATTACAATGATAAAAACAATATATAATATTAAAAGATATATCTTAAATAAAATACACGGTCTACTAAAAAACTATAGCCAACTAATAAAAATACTGTCTACTAAAACTACTGTAAAAAAACATACTAAATCTAATTTTAAAAATGTCTGCATTCCTGGCATTAACACTGAAATCATCTAGAAAGGCAGCATCCTTGAGAAAAGGGGATCGAGACCCTCGTACATATGTGTGGACGGATCGTAAAAATTTCAAAAGATATGTTTGTTTTAAAACAAGAAATGGCACTGGCATATGACTCGCCGTTTTTCGGGGGAAAGTTTGTCCGCTAGGTTGCTCAGAAAAAGTTTGCATTCCTTCCCCATTCCTCCGTTCGTGCCAAAAACTAGGGGGTGGGGGGAGATCCCATTTCCACGTCAATAACTCTTTGTTGGTAATTCCTTTTCTTGTCTTTCTCATGCTCCACGAAGATCGATTCTGTGGATTTGTTCTGGTTACGCGTTGAGTTCACATGTGTTAGACATACATGAAAGAATGCTGTTTCTCCTCGTGACCAGAAACTTCCTCCCTTAATGTCCAGTATAGCCTCAGGGCTTGTGACGGTGGATCTTGAGGTTGAATACCTCACTGTCGATCGGTAGGAGGTAGGGCTGTACATTGACATCCTTGCAGACTTTTCTGAGCAGAGATGTGAGAAGGTTCTGGATGCCATCATGTCTTTGTGCAACAAAACCCACCTTCTTACACGACAGGGCGTGGCTGACTGTGAATCGATCTCCACCCGTGCAATGGCTCGGCAAGATTGTAATGCAAGTGTAGCAAGTCCCTAAATTGTTGCTTATTCAATGTCAGGTCCTTCTCCTTAAGGGCTACGACGTTGAGCCACGAGCTTGCACCATTGTCTCTGGCCTGCAGTGTTGATCTTAGCAAGTCTAGCTGCCTTGTGTGGTGCTCTTATTAAATTTGACTTTGACTTATTTAACTTTAACTCATCAGGGAGCGGTTCCGTCTGACAAAAAACTGGAAGGAAAATATCGTTGATCACTTCATCGATTGGTTCCACATAGTCTTCAAAAGAGTCAATTGTACGCATAAAATATGCAAATTTCGATTTGTAGTCCTTTGTGAAGGCGACGTAGGCAGCATGGGTTGAATCTTTACGATCTCAGCCAGCAACTCGATGTTTTTCCTCCATCCTCCATTTTTCCACGACATTATTGGTCTTTGTATTCCTAGGGTCCAATGATTGCTCCCAGGTGTCGTTGACCTTCCGTTGTTATTCTGACCTCCTCTCCAAACACCAACTTGGTCTTGTCTGCTAGATCTTGAGTCTTCAGGCTACCTGGACTTTACTATCAGTCAACTTTTGGAGCCATTGACTAGGTAGCCAAATTTCTTTCCTTCTTGACTAAAAAGCTTATACCAGTTGTATAACACTGAGTTGATGGATGTGTTGATCGCATACCATGGCATGGCTAGAGGGTCACTGGATCCCACACGTGGAGACCGATTCACAGTAAGCCGTGCACTGTTGTGTAAGGGGGATTTTGTTGCACAAAGACATGATGGCATCCAGAACATTCTCACATCTCTGCTCAGCAAAGTCTGCAAGGATGTCGATGTAAAGCTCCACCTCCTATCCACCGTCACAAGCCCTGAAGCTATACTGGACATAAAGGCAGGGAGTTCTGGTCACGAGGAGAAACAGCATTCTTCGATGTATGTCGAACGCATGTGAACTCAACGTGTAACCAGAACAATTCCACAGAATCGATCTTCGTCGAGCACCAGACAAGAAAAGGAATTACCAACAAAGAGTTATTGACGTGGAAATGGGATCTCCCCCACCCCCTAGTTTTTGGCACGAACGGAGGAATGGGGAAGGAATGCGAGCTTTTTCTAAGCGACCTAGCGGACAAACTTTCCCCCCCAAAACGGCAAGTCGTATGCCAGTGCCATATCTTGTTTTAAAACAAGCATATCTTTTGAAATTTTTACGATCCGTCCACACATATGTTCGTTGCGAGGGTCCTGATCCCCTTTTCACAAGGATGCTGACTTTCTAGATGATTTTAGTGTTAATGCCAAGAATGCAGACATTTTTAATTAGTTTTAGTATGTTTTTTAGAGTAGCTTTAGTAGACGGTATTTTTATTAGTTGGTTATAATTTGTTAGTAGACAGTGTATTGATGACAATAAACGCCTTTTTTAACGAACAATCGACAATAAATGTTGTGGCTTTAAAACAGGAAGTAAACACGGAATATTAAGTAAAAAAAGATGGCGTGTTTCAGTGGGGGCGCGGGGAGGACTCTGTATACTGAGGCTTGTGTTTCTCAGTTTTGACCTTAGGGAGACGAAAACAAAAATGTAAATACCTATTTTTTAGTTACGTTTTGTTTTGTTTATTTTTATTCATTCTCTAGACAACCAAAAATTGTTTAGATTTATGTAAATTGCCGGGAAAGGCGCGGGAAATTCGCTGACCAAAACATTGCAGGCACTTTTTTGTCACGTAATACTTGGTGATTGAGAGTGACGGAGATCTTGGAACAACTTGCATTTTAAAAGAAAAATGAAGATAGGAGGAGATAAATATAGTTATAGAGATAAGACGGACATTCAGAAGGCCTTTTGGAGGCAAAGAAGTGGATTCTAAACAAATATTGGCCAGTCACGCAGCATACATAATAGTTCGGCATAGGTCGACGGTGGTAAGTAAAACTAACACCATTCTTCTTTGAAATACTATTCTTTTTCTGAGGTTGTAGCCAAAACTTAATGAACTTTTTAAGGGCGTAATTTATTTATCGGTAGAAGGAAGAATTTCTCATCATTGAATGTTGTTTTTAGATGTACAAGTTGACTTTGCTTTATGACTGGCATATACTGGCGTGATTTAAAGCTTGTCAACAACCGTGCGCCATGTGGCCTTGAAATCTCCCCAGGAAATGAAAAACAGCTTGTTCTTGTCACAGTAAAGACCATTAACACTTGAATGAAGGACTTCTGTATAGTTTAACTCGTAAGAAGAATAATCTCTGATTTTGCAAGAAAATCAAAACGAGGTCACAAACATTTAATACGATTTTGCCTTCGATATTTTGGTGGCATGCATTACTAATCAGTGTGAAATCTTTAATTTTCTCGCAAAATCTTGAACGTTTTAAGCATGCATGAGACTCCTCAATTATTATTCTTGTACAACGGGCTAGAAAGTGTCGGTTTAGTAACTTCAGCGGCCGTTAATTGCTGAATTATAGGGTAGGAGAAGTGGAAATAAGCTTGTTTTAGGTGCCGTTTTCAAGTGGCATCTGACGCCCATAAAAGGCAGAGCCCAGAAATGTTTTTTATGTTTATTATATACTAAAGGGTTGGTAAACAGGGATTAGCAAAATTATTGTTATAGCTTTCTGGCAAGGAGAGATATTTGATCTCAAAATCAACAAATATTTGAATGGCTAAAAAGCTGGTCCCATATTCAAGGCCAGTAATTGACAAGCTGTCAATCAAATTGACTGAAACTTACATCCTTGCATTTGTCAAAGATGTATCAATATATATACAAACCCTCAAGGTAAAAGGTTAAAAACTGTTGCCCTGAGGGCTTCCTACTTTTGTCTGTTATTAATGCACTTTAATTGCTAAAAAATGTAATCAAACCAGTTGGGTGGGCTATTTCCCACCATAAAGATCGAAACAATGAACCAGTTTGTCATTTTGAGTTTTGGGGTAGACCCTTTAAACTGGCCAAGTTTCAATGAAATCAGAGAGATAGCATGTAGCACACCTGCCTGGTGCACTCATGGACTCACTCTTAAAACCCTAACTAGCAGGAGGCAACCAGTTGGCTATTTACAAGCGTGGTCGAGGATTTGAACTCGGGACGACCGAGAACGAATCCAGGAAGTGGCCAGAGCGGGACTCGAATTCGGGACCACCGGATTGCGAGTCCGACGCGCTGACCACTCGGCCACGCTGTCATCCTCCTTTAAAGTTTCGTTTGTATTAAATCCCTTCCCCTTAGTAAAAAACATTCATTTATGCTATGTCTACACTATACCGGAAAGCTTATCATGTCGATGACAAGTACTCCGGGCGCGCGTGGTATGAGCATATATCTGTTCACACTGTGCCAAAAAGTGGCAAAGAAACCTATCCAATAGGTGAAGGTTCTCTTTTTAGATCGGCGCAACGCTGCAGGCTTCGTTACAGAAACTGTACCAAAATGGCAGTTCTTATGTGTGAAGAAAAGCCCTCTCCGATACTGCCAGTTTGGTGCCGGCGCACGAGATATCCGGTACAATAAAGTCATAGCTGTTGAGAAAAAAAAAGACAACAAATTTTCTTCACTTGTGCTCACTTTTTGCCGTTTGCTTTTCCTCTTTGTTTGCACAAAGAGACCTACATGTGAGTACCCTAGGTTCAAGAGGTTTTTATTATAAAATGGTGGGAAAGTTGGGGAGGGAGGGTGTGTGTAAATGAGAGTGTTGTAGGCATAAAAAGAAATAAAATGGATTAATAGCGAAGCGCGCGCGCGTGGGCGGAGCCCCATTGCTAAGTAATAAGTAAATCTACCCATCCCAGAAAATTTGGTAATCACGTGACCGTACACCGACCGACCGCCCGCCGTCCGTCCGCACCACAGAAAAACCAATGTTTACTCTCACACTTTTAGCTAGTTTGGGAGCCCAAGAGAAAACTAATTGCACAGGCTGCACATCAATGTTGTGATCAATTTACAGCTATCAAAACAGGGCATCCGCTGACAAGTATCACCTGACCGTACCGCGGGCTCAAGTGTCGACCCATCGAGGTCGAGTATTTTTTTTAAAGTTATCCGCTGACAAATTACCACTTTCAAATGATCGCAGGCTCAAGTTTATTTTTTCCAAGGATTCAAATCAAATATGTTGTGTTTATGGGCGCTTTCCATTTAGTCAAAATTTCCGGAATTTCTGGTTCGGCGGTAAATGGAACACGTTTTGTCGGTTCGTCCCACTGGAAAATTCCCAGAAAAAGTGGAAAATCTAAAAAGGTGGTCCCGTTTTCCCGGTTGGAATTTCCGAACGGAATGTCGTGCTCCATTGACGTTTCTTGTAGCTTGTACCAGTTCCAGGTCCACGGTCGGGCACCCGGCCACGTACCGGGGTTTACGACCAAATGGAACAACTTTTTACCGATCGGAAATTCCACTTTTGCTACCACCGAAATTTCCGGATTTTTTTCGTAAATGGAAAGCGCCCTATGTCACTATGGCCCCGCACTATTAGGATTTTGATTTTAAACTGACCTCGGAAGCGAAAATTCATCAAGTTTTTTTATAAGTACAGGCGGGGAAGACCTTATCTTACCATGGTCACGCGTTGGTCACGCTCTACGTCCAATTTTTATACTCTGATTGGTCAAAGTTTGACAGGTGAGTTTATGCGGAAAAATTATGCAGCATCTTGAAAGTAGTTTACTTTGACAGCTGAAGCTGACAGAGTTTTGTGTCAACTTGTGATGTTTTGAACTGTCTTTTTCCTCTGGAGGTACAAAATGAAATACAGCTGCTATCAAGAGTCTTCTGTTATTCATGGCTGGTTTGTTTACTGGGTTTTGGTTGAGAAATGCGTCGCTTGTCAAAATTCGGTAATTCGATTTCGGATGGCATCGTTTTCGTTTTTCACCTTGCTTAATGCGTAAGAGGGTTTAAAAGTCTCAAGCAACTGTGACCTCCCTTGATAGCTTTCAGGAACTGAATCTCGAATGGTAAGCCTAAGTAATTATTGTATTTGATGTTTGTGTTTCATGAAGTCTTGCACAGTTCACGCTGACAGTTTATGCGGCAAGTTTATGCACGTTTGCAGGATTTGAGTCAATGATCTGACCTAGTATCAAATTTGATATAAGCTTACAGAACTTTAAAAAGCCTTCAGATATATTTGCTCACCACAAATAGAAAGAAAACGTTCCGAAGGATATTTAGTTATAAATTTGGCTGTAGAAAGAAAACTTTGAGCGATTTTCTTGCTTCGAGGAGTTCACCTTCGAAAACAGTAAACACCGCGCTGGGAAGCCGGCTAAAACATAAACTTAAGCTTTACGCTTAAAGACTCAGGATTTTTAGAGACACTTTAATACTTGTCTTCGTGAATGAAAATTGTTGTCTCTGTAAATGTTTCACGGAATTATATCTCTTTTTTTGATTGTTAGTAGTTTCTCTTGCAATTTTAATCGCTTGTCCGTGCCGTTTGTTTTCATCGTTCATGACCATCGCCTGCAGGAGTACTCAAAAATGTCGCGCGTATCAAACGCCTTGTAAGATTACACATCGTCATAACTAAAACCATTAAATAACAAAACAAATAATAATAAATTCGCTATTATGTTGAAGCGTAACTCTGTTAAAGTTCATTCAAACACTCGATTACACTGACAGCTCGCACTATGGAAACGAGAACCAGCTGGCCGTATGGGTGATTTTGGAAATTTTCTGAAATTTTTGAACGGTTTGGCTCGTCCTGAATATTGACTGAGTGAAAATTGTGAAATACCGCATTCTGTCCGAGCTCTGTATGATAAATAGTACTGTTTCACCTCAAATGTGGTGTATAAAAATTATACAAGGTTGGTTTAAACACCCCCAGATTTGTTGGCAAGAATTTGTAAAGTAAACCTGTCGAACGCAAAAAAATTTGGCGTGATTTGTTTTCCAAGATTTGCTTTCGAGGCCTAATCTACTGTGATCTTGAATGTGATCGAAGATGTTTGCTATTTTTTGGGTGTACATATAAGGTTATCAATTCGATGTAAGATGTTTCACTCTAAAATAACTTAGCCTTTCCCTCAAAAGTCACATGAATGTGCCCTTAAGTTAAATGATTTGTGGATTAAAAGTTTATTGTTTGATTTAAATTATAAATTTATTAAAATTGGAGCTTCGCTTTTGGCCCTGGCTAAATCTATATATTAGTTAAATTGTTAGAAAAAGCACCAATATATTGAGCAACCGACAACTGCAATGCAGCCAGGTCCAACACAATACACAGTGAAAAATAAGATAAAAGGAACTGAAGGGTTAATATACAATATAATATAAAGTTAAGGACCTTGAAGCGAGAGAAACAGGTTTTTAGGGCAAATTCATCCACTAGCTATAACCGTAGCAAGATGCCTGCGGCACATGAAAGTACTGAAAAGTCTTGGAAATAAAAAGTACTTGAATACTTACTCGAAAATACATCAGATAGCCTCTGCAGCAGGTCAATTAATGAGCGAAAAAAAGAAATCTCCTCAGCTAGTGGATAAAAATTCCTCTTCTCATGGATGTGGCTCACCAAGAGTAGCAAAAACAATTTTTTTGCTGCTCACGCCAAAGGTAATCGTCAGCATGATGACGTACAAAATTGGTGCCTTTGTTTAAAGGAATGGGGAAACTGTCTATTGTATACTGTAACCTGCTATGTTTTAGTGTCATCTCCTCATTATCATTTTTTTAACTGCACGTTCTTTACCCTTTTTTACATATTTTGAATTTATCTTTGACATTTGCGCATTATCTGTTGCTAGCATGTGGCTGGGTGGGCACCCTCTGGAAGAAAAGTTGGGACAGCATGTATGAAAATAACAAACAGTTCATTAGCAACACTACGGAAAAACTGCAAATGTTTTTAGTGAGTAATTGTTTGTTTCCTTTGTTCCTTTTTCTTAGTATATTTCTGATGAATACTTTAATTGTGTCCGATGTAGTAAAATTCATAGAGCTAGCCCTCCTTGATTTTCATTAAGTTCTATATTCCTATACAGATACTGTCTTTTTAATAGTAAAGTTGCAAACCTATCTAATATTAGAGGAAAACGCCTAGCAGATTCTAGTGTGTATCTCCTAATTATTAAAGCTAAGAAGGTCGAAAAAACTCATCCCTGTTCGATTAGCTATCTAAGGGCCTGTTTACATGGATGTGGGGGATCCCAGTTAGGTGAGGTAGCCCTTTTAGATGGGGTAACGCGCCTGACCATAAAATCTCATTTTAATATGATCACTTTTACATGATAGATAGGCTAGGGTGACCTGCCGAGGCAGATTTCTCGGTTTACTGGACCGGTTAACCCTCTCAGGCGGGTCCAATTTTGCCTGGTAAACTCTTCAAGGTGGGGTTACCCTCCTAGCCGGGATGGGATTCGTGTTAGTACTAATCAAACTCGAGCCAAATATTTGGTTTTTGTTTACGTGCTTTGCGATGCTTTGTGACCTTTCATTAATCCACCGTACATCCGAGATGGCAGGATCGTAAGATTACACTTTTAAATGTAATCTAAAAAAATCAAATAATAAAAAATGACAGGAGTTTAAAAACTCCTCTTCGATTTTTTACCCTATCTAAGCGGGTTAACTCACCTACCTGGCTTTCCCTACCTCCATATAAACTGGTCTAAAGCTAAGATAAAAGTAAGTATGTTTATGGGCGGAACGTTTGAGTCAGCTCGAAAAAACAAGTTTGATGATTTCTTCTTGCAGGAGCATGGCTTCTTTAATGATTCCAGTAAATATGG